AACCACCTTGGCTAACACCTTGAAATTAAATCTGAGAAACTCTAGTAATAGTAACTGACATTGGACAGATATTACCTGAGCACAGATACTTTGTTTTTAATTATGCAAAACATTAATATGCAAAATACTATAATCAACTGTGTCTCAACATTATTTAGAAACAGTGGCCACAGTGGCTTTCACATTGTTAGATTTTCATCACTAAAACATTTTCTATTTTTGCTTGGATTTCTGTTTAATGACACACTCATCAAAAATCTGGATATTCAATGGCAGTCTGTATGATCTTGAACAAGGTAGTACAGTGACTGACATTTTGAGAATCAATCGGTGCAGCTGCGATACAATGACTTGCATCAACCAAGTCAATCTGACCATCCATTACTTTTAGTAGCCTCTATAATGAGTGAGTGAGTTTAGTTTTATGCCAGACTCAGCAATATTCCAGCAATATGGCGGCTGTCTGTAAATAGATTGAGTCTAGACCAGACAATCCAGTGATCAACAGCATGAGCATCAATCTACCCATTTTGGATACCCATGTGTCCATCAAGTCAGCAAGCCTGACCACCCGATCCCGTTAGTCACCACTTACAACAAACATGAATTGCTGAATACCAGTTCTGTCCTGGAACTTCATGGGTGACAAAACCTGACATCTTATTAACAGGTCAGGCATGATTACATAAACATGTGTTATTTCAATATAAACTAGACCGGGTTAGTGAGTTTAATGATGACTGTGACACCTGGTAATATCCAGCTTAACAAGGGCGACCTGTAAATAATTGATGAGACAAGGAAACTATCCATTCTGTCAAGGTCCAAGGATATGCAGCTATCAACCAGTTCACAGAATGACCATCCATTCCAATTAGGTGGCCATTAAGACCAAAACTGAACATAGGCATAATTTCTCATTTTGTCCTATCACATTAATACATAACTACCTTTTTTCGCTTGTCTCACGTTGTTCTAAATATTGCACAATTAATAATACTTCATTGCCACCCTTACTCCTTGGAACGAGAAACTATAAGGACAAAAACACAACAGTTAATTCCCTTAGGCTGCTACATAACCATTATAGATGGAATGAAAACTTGGATTATGACTTGGAAAACAATGTTTGTACTCACATGTCTTATGCTGACTATTCTGGAACACACATATGGACCTATTCTGAAGTACATAGGGGCCAATTTTCCCTTTTATCCCCCATTTGGCCATATTACATGAAAACAAATTAAAAGATCACTTACACCATTTCTTCTGTAACTTGGCTTCTTGGTGGACCATTGTGGTTGTGCTTCATTACCATGGAGTCCATTGCTTCATCAGCCTGGCTCCAAGCTCGACCATTTTGCTTGGGTTGCTCTCTGGCAGGGTCCATCTCTGACACAAGGATGTCTGTTTTATTTGCCCTTGGTAACCTATCTCTTAGTTCACTGTTAACATCAGAACTTCTATACATATCAACCAGCTGACCCTTCAGTTTTTCTTCAACAGCAAGTCGTAAAGATCTTTCCTCTTCAATGATTTTCTCTCTGCAAACAAATTCATCATCATAATTAGTCAATTATCATCTTGAATGAAAATCTCAAACAAGGATGGGTATAATGTATCCATTTAACTCATGGATAAATATTTCAATACATAATAAAACCACCTTTCTATCATAATAATAAATGCAATAACTGTATTGTTGAAGCGGTGGTAAGAGTTCCGCCCGTAACCCCCACTTGAAATGTATTCTATTTATTAGGATTATTTCGAGGGTTTAGGGTAAGATTTGGGGTTAGATGTTAGGGTTTAAGGTTAGGTATAGGCTGTTTATAAAAAACATAGGCGGATATTCTCAGGCATATAATGATTAGAAATAAATACGTGGGTTACGGGCGGAAATCTTTCCCTATCATTCTTGGTGCTTATATTGATTATTCAACATGTCAAGTGTCAACATCAAAGCATACGAAAATAAATGTTGCACAAAGATAATTCTTGTGACCTCAATCTGCATATCAGCTGAAACACCCTAACAACATGAATTGATCCAGCATCTCACAGTGATATGTTCACCACATGCATCAAGTTTTGTATCAGTGGCACCTCAAACAGCATGTCCAACCTTCCTTTTTATTTTGGCACAGGTGAGGCTGGTTGTGTTTGGACCTTGGGCTTGGCTTCTTGCCAGGGTGGAATTTCTTTATTACCAGTGTATGAAATAAGGCCCGTCCGACCGCCCGAAACGGTCTAGATTTCTGACGGACGGTCTAAATTTCCAGCTAGCCAGCCTGATGGTCTGGTAACAGTTTTAGAAGTAGTTCTGATGTTCAATTCAGTGTATGAAATAAGCCAAAAATCCAGCCAGACATCAGGGCTGGTAACTTCAAAATGTAACTAAATGTAACTTCAAAATGTTACAAGCCCAAAATGGATTTAAACAGACCAAATAAGGTGAATTTACTCAGATGTATGGAATTGTGTATTTCAAAAGTTTTAGATGTTTCATACATCTGAGTAAATTCCCCATATTTGGTCTGGTTAAATCCATTTTGGGCTGGTAACTTTTTGAAGTTACCAGCCCTGATGTCTGGCTGGATTTTTGGCTTATTTCATACACTGTTATTACTACAAAAGATTTCTGAATAAATCATGTTGACATCTTTCTTCATGAAATTATAAACAGCGGTGGGGATTGGATTCCTTGAAACGAATTTCCAATGTTCGATTTGGCCAAGTCTAGTTCTTGATTAAGTGCTTTTAACCTGCTCTGTTTTCAACTTTTGAGCAAGTTATAAAGTATAGGGCTACACGACTATGACACGCGTACATATACAGATCGATTTTCAAAATCAATAAGGTGTAAATGTATCAGTGGTGTTCGTAAATGTTCAGTTTCATGAGCAGCAGTAAATTGTCATGTGTCGTACGCACAAATTGTTTTCTGTCATAAATCTGAAGAAAAAAACGACTGCCACTGTCACAAACCGTTCTTCGATATCCTCCTTCAGTTTTCCAACAGATGTCACGGTTTTCTCTGTTGCTCTTCGAATTTGACTGATTAATTTTTTGTCGGTGTCAGGTAACTCATGGAACTGTTTTTCCGGTGTCCTGTCCAACCGGCGGTGGTACCCGATCACTTCGGCTGCTCCAGGTATGGAAGGCCGAGCAGCCATATTGGAGCACCTGTAAACAAAGGTGCATCATGGGATCTAACCGTCTATAGTTATCTCCCTTTATTGATGACCCATTAATGTCCGTAACATTTTTCGAATTCATTCACCTTTATATATTCTCTCTGGCTATGCTATTTCAAACGAAATATTCAAAATTGTTCTTAGAGTACGAATAATAATCATTACTTTTTAATAAACAGAAATTTTGATGGAGCATTTCATAAATTGCAAACAATGACAGCAAGTGGTACTTATAATGCAACGACACTTTTTGACTGGCTAACAGGGTGCCAAATGCAGAATCGTGTTTCTCTTTCCTTTTTTTCCGTTCATGCATGTATATTTGTAACCTATATCTAACTAATTTTCATAGGTATGTTTGGCAGATACCTACCTAATGCAGCATATACATCTTGCGTTGTTTTGTTTTTCAATTTCATAACTTTATGTCGACACATGCCTGATACTTTGCCAAGGCGTCTTTCGTTTTCACTCACTCACTCGGTATGTACCGTGCATGCTATATTTCGTTTGGTGTAACTGATAGAAGCGTCCATAAAAGTTACGTGACGTTGATATTATGAGCGCTTGAAATATATTTGTGTACATTACCCTTCAGACACAGTGCTCGATTCTTGTTCTAGGACTTTCACCTATGTCAAACGTTGAACCAAAATGTTCAGTCACAAACCACAAACGGATTGCAGGGGATGCTGATGATTGTTTCAGTACAAATATTATTCTTCAGTTCATTTCTCAGAATTGGGGTCACATGACCTTAGAATGCAGGAGTTTGAACCACAACCATGAAGAATTTGGCTGTTGCTTTACATCAATACCACCAAAATACCATTTTACTAATAATTATAATGCTGAGAAGAGATATTTTCCTTTCAATATTTTCATTCCTTGCTGTGTCGTTATAAATCGGAAGAATAACATCAATTGTCAAATTTCTTAGTAAATATTTAATATTCTCTGCAGGGGAAATACTGAATTTTTGTAAAAATATGACATTGAGAGTGTGAGTTTAGTTTTACCCCGCTTTTAGCAATATTCCAGCAATATCATGACAGGGGACTCCAGAAATGGGCTGCACACATTGTACATATAGCTTTAAGAGATATGTTGAATGTCTACAAGAATCTCCTCTACAACACCAGTTCAGATTGCAGTCTCTTCTTACAGGAAATAATTTGATCTTCAGTAACTCATGTTTAATGTAAAAGGCAACTAATGGGATTGGGTTGTCAGGCTTGCTGACTTGGTTGACACGTCATCGTATCTCAATTGCGTAGATCGATGCTCATGCTGTTGATCACTGGATTGCCTGGTCCAGACTCGAATATTTACAGACCGCCGCCAATTAGCTGGGATATTGCTGTGTGCGGGGTATAACTAAACTCCCTCACTCACTTACAGGAGATGAGTCACGATATGTCTGAAATATTGCCAAAGTGACTATAAATTTTAACTCACTCACTCACTCTTATACAGGAGATGATGAGATCCACCTACATTGTACTCTACACATGATACCCAACTGAGGATTAATCTGTAGGGTTGTGAAGACTGTGTATGGAAACAATTCTGCTGATTCATCAATAACTTTGTTTGTTCAAATCCCCACTCACCAACATCCCAGTGATCAGTATTGTGAGTGGCAATCAAGGTTGTCAGTTAACGATGACTCTAAATCAACCAAGTCACTCTGTTTAATCCCCCACTCCACTTGGGTGCCTCTTACAACAAGCACAGGTTGTTGGGGATCGATTCGAACACAGAATCACCACAGGTAACATCAAAAACACAACAATAACACAAATATATTGCATTTATTACAAAAATAGTCACAAGCAGGTGACCATACCCAAACTGACAATACTCTGATGAAAATGTTTACATGTGTGCTTGATCTCCGTCGGCTCAACCTTGTAGAAGTCAGTAACTACATCGAACTGAGATAAAAACTTTTCAAAGGTCAAACAATTCTAGTTTTCTAGATACTTTAAGAAAGTTTTCACACAGTGATTGTAGTAACCAGAAAAATGGCCAAGCCTGACAATACTTGGTACCCCTTTTATCAGTTGAAATTGCTGCCTTGGATACAACCGTACATTGACCAAATTTAAGTGCCACTTGTGTGACCGTTATCATTCGAAGAAAGATATAAGAAAGATGTGGTTTCGAAGATCATGTGATTCTTTGACAAACGTTAGTTCACCTGTGATGAGGAATGCTACAGATCAATCCAAAGAGACAAAATGCTAATGAACAGTGATATATGACTCACCTGGCATAAGATCGTCCCAGGTGAGCGTAAATGCTTTTTTTGTTGGCAGTGGACAATAGAGTTAACACTAGTTTTGATTCAAAATCGGGAAAAAAGTTCATTCAATTGAGAAAAAAAGCATCTGGACAGAAACATCCCTCACTGTTTCAACCCGAACACTTATAAATCATGTTTTTTTAATCTATAACACTTGGTCCAGAACACTGGCTACCTCTTCAAACTCCAACTCACCTGATACTAAATCATTATGGAAAATAAAGATGATCTAAATTTAGTTGTACGACAAAATAATGGCATAGGTGTGCAACCTGTTTCATTTTAAGTGAATGAACGTTCCTAAATTCAGTCATATATATTTTTGTTGTTGGCAAAAAAGAGTGTTAGCAGTGTCCGAGAACAAAGATTAGCTTTCCAACATGCCTTTTATGTTTAGCATCAGTTGTCAGTGTTGAGGCTTGCATTGAATCTCAGTGTATGTTAACAATAACATAGAGGCTGCTGTAAACAGTCACAAAGAGTCACGATGTCAGTGCTGGCTGCTGCCGATGTTGTCCACCATGCCATTGCCGTCAATGCCGTTGTAGAAAAAGAAGTTGTTGTGGGGCTGGTCCTTCTGGGAGACCGCCTACAAATATACAGTGAGTGAGTTAGTGAGGTGTTACATCAACATTACAGATGTAATGTGTTATATTTGGGATTACATACTTTTAAGGGTGGTTCCTATCTGGGATTATCACTCTAAGTCAGCTATCTATCCTACTGAGCCACTGAGGATTCTGTACTTTACTTTATATCAATATGTAATCCCAAATGTAGCACATTATATCTGACCACTTCTAAAGTGCACCCTATATTCATAACATTACGGCAAATCAAGGAAATTGTGTTTCTCTGTTTCGGAATGCTGATAGCCTAAGTAAACTTTGGCTCAGGATTATTCGTTACACTGCTATATTGAGTCTAACAAACCCTAGTAGAAGGTAACCTTTGAGCGACCAATGACTGTCCAATCAAATGCAAGACGGCCGAACAGATTTAACCAATCAGACAACGGCTACTATTTAGAGTTCAGTGGAACTTCGCTGACACTGATCTCTCAACAAACAATAATCCACATGAAACACAGATATTTGACCTGAACTATACTGGTGGTATACACTTAAAGGTTTCTGATGGTATGGTTACTATTAGCTTATATTTCCACAAGATGACATCCTGGAATATTGATGAAACGCTATTTTCAGCAACTGTTTACTCACTGTTGCGAATAATGGTGTCCTCCATGTGATCGTGAGGAAAATAGCTTTCGGGAATCGTTCGAGTACAAACGTTTTTGAGTTAAAAGTTCAAATGGTATGTGCGAATGTTAACTTTTGCGATTTGGTAAGCTGTGTTCTGCTTGGTCAATTCAAAAGGTTAGCTGATGCGACCTTCTACTAGGGTTTGTTAGACTCAGTATAGCAGTGTAACGAATAATACGGAGTCTTGGTGAATGCCACACTCAGCAATTGCACGCTATGTGACGGCAGTCTGTAACAGACCTGGGCCTTGATTTTCGAAGGTCTCTTGCGTTAAGATAGGTGTAAGTTAATGTTTATGTATGGCACTTACGACCATCTTCGTGCTAAATGAGCTTCGAAAATCTAGGCCCTGTATCAAATCTGTGATTGAAATTGTGAACAACAACCCTTGCCATTGAGGTAGACACAATATCAACCAAGTAATAATCCATTTAGTTGCCTTATACTTGCTGGAGAGCCATTCTAACCTGGAATCTCTACAGAGTAAAGCAAGATGAAAAGAGAGTGATCAGGCGTCAAAGCAATTATCCAATTGGGTGAGAACTGAACAGAACTGAAAAATATGACTGATGTCACTCACCTTAATGATTTCCTGTCCCAGTACACCCCCTACGACAGCACACACCGGACTCAGCTCAGCAAAACAGAAACTGCAGCAGAAAGGCTCATCTTAGTGTCATCAAATGGCCAACTGATTTACCACAATGTCAACGAGTGGCTCGTATCTCCAAGTAGGTTCTCATCACATAAACAGAAGTAGTGGGGTAGCCTAGTAGTTAAAGCGTTCTCAGAGCTCTAGATAAGATTTAGCTCATGTGGGTACTGTACCCACTGTATTTTTTTGGAGTGGGTATTATGAACGTTGAGAGGGTATGTCATTTTCCGTTACCCACTGCTTTCAAATATGTGTGTATTTCAGTCATTTTACTCACCTAAGTATTATGTCACTGAGTAAGTTTACTAAGAAGGTATGTTCTGCCTTATGTCATACCTAATCAAAACCAACTTAAATATAATGGAAATGATTTCATAAAAAATCACTCATCCTATACTGACAGTACAACACTTGTCCTATACTAACAGTACAACTTGATAGCAATCGATGTCTTTTTCATTACGCAAGCGATTTTTATAAATATATTCAGTACGCATTTGTTTTAAACTTTTTGCGTATCTAACATTTAAAATGCGTAATTGGTACGCAACAATTATTTTTCAATGCGTAATTGGAAATTTTATAAGCGTATTTACCCGGATACGCAGCTTATCTGGGCCTCTGGCGTTCTCTTGTCACCAAAGTGACATTGCTGGAATATTGCTAGAAACAGTGTCAAACCATACTAGCTCACTCATCACATAAACAGAAGTGGTGGAGTAGCCTAGTAGTTAAAGCTTTCTCTTGTCAGACCAAAGTGACATTGCTGGAATATTGCTAGAAACAGTGTCAAACCATACTAACTCACTCATCACATAAATATTGAATCCAAGTTGGGAAGTCACACACAACACACTAAACCTCTAAGCTACCAACAGCACTTTGCACAAGTGATTTACAACGAAGACATGTTAACGCTTGGATAGAGTGTAACTTGATGGACCCTATCATTATACAATGTTTTTGTGATTAAATTGTTTACTGTGATGTATGCAAGCTACTGCTCTCAGTATTTTAATGGACAACTGTCAAGGCATGAAGGCAGCAATGTTTTCCTTCAAGTGACAAAATACATCATAACAAACCCTTTACAGTGTCTCTCACAATGAATATGTATATATAATGTGCCTTATTCACACCAAAAAACAAAACATGCCACATTATTACTCTGGTTAATGGAGCAGTGGGCACTCAAGTTTCATTATGAGATCCAGGGAGATACAACCAAAGTTACTTGTTAGGCACTACCAGGTACCCATTCACTGCAGTAGTGTGAGTGAGCATGGTTTTACGCCGCTTTTAGCAATATTCCAGCAATATTACAGTGGGGAACACCAGAAATGGGCTTCACACATTGTACCCATGTGGGGAATGGAACCCGGGTCTTTGGCGTGACAAATGAACGCTTTAACCACTAGGCTACCCCACTGCCCTTCACTGCAATAAGAACAGAGAGTGTTGTCTAAGGTGATACCATCATGTTTCAGTGTGTACATAAATTCAGGAGTCAACATGGCTACTTCTCATAACGACCTGATTTGTGACCCATGTGCAGTACATATAAGCCCTACTGTATCAATCTGTGTGAACATGGAGCTGTTAAGGTCCAGAATGTGCCATGGATCCAATGATTAGTACAGAACGTCAGTTATTAACATGACATCATACAAATACAGTTTGCCTTACAAATCTGCCCAGAATGACAGAACCAATCATTTTAGTCCCTCCATGGTCTGATGTGGAATCTTATGAATACTGTCAGTATTCATTAAAACAACATGCTCATACTGATTAATAGTGATGTTCAATAAAATCACTGTAGTTTGACCTCCAAGCAAAGTCCTACCTTGCAAAGTCCTCTGGCACTACTTTCTTGTCCACCTTGAGTCTCTCCAGAGTTGTCTCCCTTATTCCATTCAGGTCTGTCACATCTTCAGCTTTTGATTTAATTAGAGGTCTCCGCTTGTGTTTGCCATAGAAGTCTAGAAGCACTGAAAACATCCAAAATCAGGTAACAGTCACAATATTATCTGAACAAAACTGGATTTAAATAGCATTATTTTACCACATTTCAAACACAAATGCATTAAAGAAATATATACTGCTTAAAACTTGTGTAACATACGTACATGTATCACTAAAACAGGTGAAGGACTCCCGGATTCTTTCATATTACTGAAGTTAATCTGTCATGAAATTACAGATTAACTATTGACTGACTGACTGAGTTTGGTATTACGCCGCTTTAAGCAATATCCCAGCAACATCACGGCGGGGACACCAGAAATGGGCTTTACACATTGTACCCATGTGGGGATTCGAACCCGGGTCTTCGGCGTGACGAGCCAACACTTTAACCACTAGGCTACCCCACTGCCCCGATTAACTATTGTAATATGACATCATAATACATGTAGCATAAATGCATTCTGACAGTACTTCAGAGTGAGAACATTCTCCCAGTTTGCACGCATACTTATTGCAATATCAGCAGTTTTCATCCAGGCCTTACCTTCCATGATGAAGTATGTGTTAGGGGTTCTTCTCAGCTTCTTTTTCATATCATCTAAGCTCCAGTCAACACTGAGAGCATTTTCCAGGCGCTTGAATGTCATGCACTGAAAAGCAACAAACAAATCCCTACTTACATATTGAACAAGAGATTAATTACTGAAATATTGTAAAAATATTACCATAATTAGCCCAATCATTTACAATTTACACATACAGTAAAATAGATTACTGAACCAACACGTCAGCAAGATAGCGGAATATTCCAGTATTACACTTGAAACAGACAACAAGATGGCTATGGTTCAATGTTGTGTTTCTCTTGAACTCAAACATACAACTGACATAGACAAAGTCAAGTATCCTTGACATAACAACCCATACACATAATCCCATTCAAATAATTCTTCACTCACCAACGTCCTTTAAATGATTCAAAACAAGAATAATCTCGGTTTGAGTTACTTCCTGAATAGCCAAGCATTAAGAGTTACCCCACTGACATAAGTTGCTCAGCAGTGTTGAAACCACATGGTCCACAGGTATGTCTAACTATGTCGGAGCAGCCAAACACAGTCAACCCCGTGGTTGACAGCATGAGCAAATATTCACACCATCACACTCAATTAGCACTGTCACACATTGTAAACACACACTCAGCAATTGATAGTTTTTCTGACACATCAGGGATGACAGTCCAGTCATTTTTTAAGATTGGGGATGGTTGGCAGTATGTCATCAAAGAGAATCATGTGATGCATGCAGGATACAAAACGACCTTCCGTGTAATACCATTTTTATTGAATGAGTTAATGATTTTCACGAATTGAATTAAAAATGGTATTTCATTGAAGCGAGTTTAGTATTCTGTTTATTACTCTCTAACATAAATTGATAAAAACTGTCTAGAGTGTGATGACTTTCACCTTTCCCGGAGTCAAGCAAGGTCTAATACCATTGTGACAGGTATTAGCATTGTGACGTTATCACTGTAAACCATTATGACGTCATACATCTAGCGGTATTACACTAGTGTACTATTGCCGTAAAAATCTTACATTGCAGTGTCTTCCACAGGCGAGTAATAAATACATATATGACAGGCTCAACAGGGGAGTCATAATAAATATTATACATGTTTGAGCGGGCCATCCAAAAAATTGATAAACAATAGGGGAGGTTAATTATTTCAAGAACATTAGTACACAAACAAACTGAGCATGTGAGACCTCTGACATGTATTCTCTAGGACATGACAAAAGGACATTTCTTTACCTTTTTCACAACAACAGTTTCCGGTTCCTCAGTCTTTGCTTTCTTGGGTGATGGTTCATCAGTCTCCTCATCTTCAGCTGGTTTGGCCTTTGTGTTGGGAACCTCCCTACAGAGAGTCATATGTACATCGTTAATATGTGAAGTTACCCAGCAAACAATCAGTTACCCAGCAAACAACCAGCAGCCCACCAGAGAATAACATGACACCTCCACAAACAATGCTATGTTTGGTTGTTCACCATACCATGCACCAATATTCTAGCTATGGCAGCCAAGTCTCACCACCTGATCTACTGGGTTGCCTCGGGTGGATGTTAAGACCAGATGGGTTGCAGCTGACCAACTGAAGTGGCCAGATTGGAAAGAGTGAGTGAGTGAGTTTGGTTTTACGCTGCTTTTAGTAATATTCCAGCAATATCCTGGCGGGGAACACCAGAAATGGGCTTCACACATTGTACCCATGTGGGGAATCGAACCCGGGTCTTTGGCATGACAGGCAAACACTTTAACCACTGGGATACCCTACCGCCCCAGACTGGAAACAGGCTCCTTGTCATGACATAATAATGATAAATTCTAAGGATTAAAGGGATCCCTAGATTCAAGTCAGTTGAGCAGCAAGTATCAAGGATCACAGGATACCTTTATTTACACTTCCATACCTTTTACAAATAACACAACTGTACACTTCATTAATCCTTAAACTTATTTTTCACGTCTGGGAAACCCCCAAAATTATTCCTTAAAGCATCTGGGACTAACAAAAAAGTGATCAAAGAAAATCTCACGTAAGTTTCCCATGTACTTATACATAATATTACTGCTGATGAATAAGAATAAACTCCAAACAGCTGTGTCCCTCACATTACAGAAGTTGTCACTGATAATCTTTCACCCTTTATGTGTATCACTATTAATGCCATTCAAAGATCTCCAGACAAGGATGTAAATCTTTAAATTGCCACCAAAGTAGCAATCTTTCTGCTGACTTTATCCCCATCTGAGCATACTTTTAGACATGAAAGACAACCCATGTTACATCTAGAGCTTACTGTAGTGCATCATGAATCATAGTCAATACTTATAGAGCTTGTATAAGCTGTCAGTATGTTGCTCATTAACCCTGAAAACACTAACATCGTTAAGTTAGTCAGTACATCACTACATGTACAGATGCTGTATTCACAGTCTGGGGACAGAGAGAGAATCCCAACCTGTGTTGATGGTGATGTGTGTCCTCAACCACTGCAGTAAAACACAACATGTCTGTACAACCAACAACTCACTCTGCGTATTCATGTTCTCCTAGATCGCTGAACATGTAACCATAGTAACCAAAGACATCTCCACTGAAGAACTGAATACTGTTTTCGGCACAAAACTTGTTGATTCTGCACTGAGTGGCTGCTGGACAGCAGGTGACACAGACAACGTCAAAGTTGGTGAAGAAGGCGTCGTCTTTGCCATCAACATCCCCAGAGTCAGCTGTTACTTGGACCATCGGGTTGAGCAGCTGGACTCGGTGAAGGGAGGATTCAGCACGCTGGGGAAATGGAATTGAACGATAAATGCTGGTTACTCAATATGATTACTTGTAAATATGATCATTGACCAACGATGACAATCTATGAATTAAAGAAGAAATACTGGAGAACATGGAAACCTCTACCATTTCCATGTTGTTTGAGATCATTTCATATTTTGAAAGAAAAACGTTTTGTCTAAACTCCTTAAAAAATAAAAAACTCTCGATTTCAGTAGTCATCCATATAGTACCTACAGCCACAGGACTTCAGACTGGCCTGCTTGTCCAAGGATACTTATTTGTGCCTTTGACAGGTGATAACCCACTTTGGGTAGTCCTTACTCAACAGCAGTATTTAAGGCCATAGTCATAATTCTGAACCAGTTATCTAGGATTCAAGTTGCAACAAACTGGAACTGAATAAAGGAAAACAGAAAATGTCAACATCAGTATCATTCAAGCACCATTCAAGCACCATACTGAGGACTAGTAAAATATGGTTTACACCGGTCCTCAGGGTCTTCATCCACAAAGCGTTAGATATGTTATGAGCGATCATAATTATATAGTTCAACATAAGCTTACTAATGATGTGCTGCAAAAGCTTTGAATTAGTTTAAAAAATATCATTCCAAGGCTGACCAGTGGTATCCCGTCCCCATAGTCCTGTCTAACTTACATTTTTGCCTAAATCAGCTTTCGACACAAGGAAGTGAGATGTGCAGTCTTCATCGTCAACCTGTAATCAGAATGGCTTACGGAATCATTCATACATCTGATTATTTTCAATCTTACTCCAATGTCTAAATCCACCCATGTTCTTGATGAATGATTTGGTATTTCAAGATATCACGGTATACATCATATTAACAAACACAATACACAAAGTTGCATCTTTATTCATAGGTCAGGTCTAAATTATGGTCAGAACGCTGTTTTCATTAACAGTACTCGCCAGTGTCACTGTGATGTGAAATATGTGGATATTTTTCGCATATTTGACCGAAGATGCTTCTTTTGATAATCAAACAATATTTTGTTAACTATTATATATGACCTATATCAATAGATAGCCCTGAGATCGGGAAAGGCAGGGGTCATGGGCCATTTTGCACATTACAATAAAAAATGGCCCATTAAAATTTTGAAGTTTACTATTGATACAAGGGCAGAGGCCCATTCTGAATTCAGAAAATGGCTAATAAACCTGAAAATGTCCCATTGTCAAGGTTCTCTATCCCAATCCCTGATAGCTCCACTATTTACTAGTGTTTTACTAAATTTTCGTCCTTAATTGGAATGTAAATTAGCAAGATATGTATTAATTAAGAAAGAAATCTATGTTCACATGATCAACATGATTAACATCAGAAAAGCTGCTCATTATGAAGAAACGGAAATACTGTCCTCACCAGTGAACTGTCAAGCAGAGTGATAGATTTGATTCCAGCGAGGACAATATTCTTGGCCACCTCTGCTCCAAGGCCCTTCACTCCAACCAAAAGCACACTGGCATCTTATTTACACGTGCTGCACGAAGTCTGGAAGGCATATTGACTTCATCAATCAAATAAATAAACAGCTAATGGCATCTTATTTGTCTATTAAGTCTTTATGGCCTACGACCTTCCTGACTGCACACTAAATTTCTCCATTTCCTTTTCCGTTTGCATTAGTTTTCACATGTTTCAGAGTTACCGGTTGAAACTAAACTTCAGATGAGTACAGATAAACATGACACTCATTGACAGACGAAGGCCTTGAAAGCTTCTTATGTAGATCTACTTTTTAAAGATAATTTCAGTAGATCTACATCTGTTTGTTCATAAATAGGACACGTGTTCAGGTTAAACAGTACATGGAAAAAATCACGTTCTTTAAAACTCGTCATCTTAAACCGATCGTGATTTGAACAATAACAAGAACACCAGCTGACAATGACAACTGACAACTGCTCGCATCACAACAATGTCAAATGGCCATTTCTTCCACCCACCTTCTCTGGGCATCAAGACCCCACAGACGAATCTGTCTGTCGTAAAGTGCAGCCTCATCTTCTGTTATGTTTTCCTCCCGACCCATGCTTTTCCCGCAAGTGCAATAACAGAACACAAATCTGCCGGTAGAAGCTACATTGGAGTTTTGTAACGGAACATTCGATTGGTTAGATTTATCAACGTTAAAATCCGGACGATTAACTATTAGCCACAGATTTGGCATCATCGATTTCCGTCAGATTTCCAAGCAGAGACGAAAAAGTAAACCCGTGAAAATCCGGATTAGAAGTGATCTTCATTAACCCATGCTTGTCGTAAGAGGCGACTAGCGGGATCGGGTGGTCAGACTTACTGACTTGGTTGACACATGTCATCGTATCCAAATTGCGTAGATCGATGCTCATGCTGTTGATCACTGGATTGCCTGGTTCCGACTCGATTATTTACAGACCGCCGCCATATAGCTGGAATATTGCAGAGTGTGGCGTAAAACTAAACTCACTCACTCGAAAAAGTAAATGAATACTGAGTGAGTGAATGAGAGAACGTCACTTTGAAGACTAGGAAATCATTATTTAGGGACGGCTATTACATCGGGGATGAGGAAGGGGAATGAATCTGAATGAATTACATCTTTTCAAATGTAAAACTGTACAATAAACCGAAAATTGAGAAGACAAAGGAGTTTTATTCACATTCAAGTCGCTCACATACGTTGAACACCTAGTAGAACAGCCAGATAATCAACAATTAAGCGTGTGTAGTGAAATTTCGATTTCACACGTGCAACTCACACACCTGGCTGTTCCACCAGCAAGTGGTCCCCCCTCGTAAAACATAGCGATAAGACAACAAAATAATGATCGTTTGTTTTAAAAAAATGTATTCGGCAAAATTTGGTTTTGTTGCAATTATTAAATTTTGTGTTAGTAAGCAATTCATCGGTCTAAAATGAAATCAAACGGGCTGTTCAAAAAGGTCCAGACTGACATATACTCATGCCAATAATGGTTTTAGAAAATCAATGACCCCCCCACCCCCCGTTATTTTTAAGCATAATTGTTTAATATTTCATGTACAAAATTGCTGACCCCTCTACATCCCCAGAACAAAATGGATATGACCCCCACCTTAAACATGATCATCTTCTCACACACACGCACGCACGCACACACCATAAATTATGAACGGTCCCTAATCGGAAAAGAATGAAGAGCTGCTCATAATCATTCACGTACTGGGTTGCAGTTTATTTTTATGATGCTTTTTTTAAAAAACAACTCCCAGGTTGAGAGGCATTCTAGAAGTTGTAAGCAATAGGAAACCGCCTCCGTGGTGTAGTGGTTAGAGCGTCCGCCCAAAGTGAGGAAGGTCGCGGGTTCGATCCCCGACCGCGTCATACCAAAAGACGTTAAAATATGGTACTTGTTGGTCCCTGTCTGGCGCTCGGCATTAATGGGTACAACAAGGACTGGTCGGCTCGGAGTCAGTATAATGTGTCTGAGTGGGGTATTCATGCTTCACTGCGGCATGGTATCTCAGTGGGCTAGCACTATAAAACCAGCATAAGTCTGGGCTAGTACAAGCAGCCCCACATACACATACACACGCATGCACGTCGTCATATGAGCGAAATATTCTCAAGCACGACGTTAAACCCAATTTCACCTCACCCCAGCAACAGGAAAGACAAGTTTCTGCTTGAAAACTGTATAAATATCTATACCGAAAGTCGCCATTGTACAATAAACAAGTTGACCGTCCATAAAGACCTGTCATCCCAACCCCAGTAGTCTCGTGTAATATTCCGGTGTTGGTTTGGATTAATAAAACCCAAGAAATATACAAATTCTATATACTGACAATTTTTGGTGTTTCTCTTTCCTTGGTGGAATAAAGAATTACAGAAACAAGGGTAACAATAACACTTATAAGTAATATTATATGTACATATTTGTACAACGAGGAGGGTTCTATGGATATAGAACTTCTTTAATATAAAATGAGTGACGTTTCGGTGTAGCTACTAATACCGTTATCAAGCACTTACTTAATAATAGTGTCAGTAGCTACACCGAAACGTCGCTTAAAGTATGTCAGCTTTCGAAATACCTGCCTGCCCGACCGCCCGGGACGGGTTATTTTCGACACGGACTGCCAGATTCTCAAATTCATCTCCCCGACGGTCGGGTAAAAATTTAGACATGTATATGAAGATATTCATCATATTTCAGGATAATAAAACATTATTAATTCACTCGTAAAAATAAATGATGAATCCCAATTGGATGATAAACTAATCGCTTGTCAAACCTAAATTATTTGGTCAGGGCTGGCAAGTTTTACATCTAACCAGCCCTGTGGTCATGCTGAAAGTTTTGGGAGTTTCATACCCTGAACTGTATATTAAAGAAGTTGTACATCCATAGAAATCTTCTCGTTGTACATCACACCAACTTCTAAATGAAACTCAAAGAAGTTATATGTATGTAAATTCACGACAAACGTTTGGCAAGCACAGTGCTGTACAATATAACTATACTTGCCTTTCTAAAAAATCTAGATTGGTTCTACAATACGTGTTTTTCCTCGGCTCTGTATAGGACGAACTGAGAGCTAACTCCGCATGAGGGGACATGTCAGCCAACACGCGTGTGGTGCATGTGAAATGCTTCTTTTAATCCTTAATAATTCGATAAGGAACCCCAGGGCATTGATATTTGAATGCAACGTGAGGTGAGGTGAGGTGAAATTGGGTTTAACGTCGTGCTTGAGAATATTTCGCTCATATGACGACGTGCATGCGTGTGTATGTGTATGTGGGGGCTGCTTGTACTAGCCCAGACTTATGCTGGTTTTATAGTGCTAGCCCACTGAGATACCATGCCGCAGTGAAGCATGAATACCCCACTCAGACACATTATACTGACTCCGAGCCGACCAGTCCTTGTTGTACCCATTAATGCCGAGCGCCAGACAGGGACCAACAAGCACCATATTTTAACGTCTTTTGGTATGACGCGGTCGGGGATCGAACCCGCGACCTTCCGCTCTCCGGGCGGACGCTCTAACCACTAACCACTTGAATGCAAGGAGGAACATTCACTGTCATATATGTAACAGACCACCAAACGCCTTGCATTTCAGTTTGCATTGTTTAGGCATTATATGATATGTGATGTGTACAGGAACTTTTGTGACCTTTTTCGTAAAATCTCAATTATTAAAACAAAATCTCACCGTAATGAAGCTATTTTCCAGCTACCGACAGGAACAAAATGAAGAAATATACTTGAAATGTTAAAGTTGATACTTTTAGAAAAAGCACTGAAGTTGTACAGAAGCTATGTCACTGGATGGACAGTGAGTGATATCTCATAAATTTGTATGTACGTCAAATGAAAATTTATGAAAATGTGACTTCTATCGGGATACGTTTAACAAACTGAGACCAGTCCGGTATGAGTATCCGGATTCACTGGGGGTCTGCATTTGAACCAATCAATGCGTCTGTTACATATCAAAAGCTTCGGTAAATTAAAAATATCCGAATGAAATTTTACGAAAGTTTCCGAAAGGTTGTTTAAATAACATCGACATTTTTTTCTAAGAATGTATGTGTGTCCATCACTTGGATTCAATCATTTAAACATACATTTCTGTGTAATATAATTCGATAAATGCAATCCCAACTTCGTTTGATTGTTCCAGTGTTTAACTAATTATTATTCGTTTCAGGTAGAGTATACTTTTAGTATTTCCTTCAATCAACATACTGACTTCATTGCAAAAGAGTTTCACCGTGTTGGCAGCATGTTGTTGGAAAATGACTTTGTAAGTAAAGCATATGTTGTTTTAAAATCACGAGTTTGGTATTGGGTTTTATAGACAGCTGCTAATAGATGTTTTCTGTTATATGGCTTGGTTAATACCCGCCTTCTCCATTTCAGTTCCTTACGGAGCTCACTCGACTTTTCCAGAAGGGTAAAACATCTGGATCCATCAGCCTAACGATGAAGCGATGTAAGACTGGTGTTTTACTTGGTTGAATTAATATATATGGTTGAATCCAATGCATTTAAAGTGATAGGGTGGATATTAGTGGGTCAAAAGTAAATTTGAATGTGTTCATTTTGAATATATTTCTCAAATTTCAATTGATGTTGCAACCAAACAATACACACCCCCTCCCTAATCCTGAGAAAATACATTTCAATGTTTCGCGGTGCACGTTCTCGAAGTTGTGTACTTACAAACAGCGTCTCATGGTTAGAGTAGTAAACATAGTAAGCAGTAAACACCAACTCTGTTCCAGTCACAGATATTGCGCATAGTGGCCTTAGCTGCAATTACCATGTTCAACAAGTTAAATTTCAGTTTTTCTATCTATCACTGCTCAAGATTATATGTGTGCAATGTAGGATTTTCATTTGAATAAAGCATACAAATTTGTGACTGTTCTTACAAGCTATCCATATGCTCTGGAAAGCATCTCCAACTGCCATTAAACAGTTTGGTGATGATATACAGAACCGTAACCTAAATTCGTGGATAACCTTGATTCGTGGATCACGGAAATGATCATGCTAGCTCGTAAATTAAGTCTTGACTGACATCACGAAGTGGTACTTTTTATGTACATACAATGCCACACCTTGCTGACAAAAAAGTTCCGCATCTCTGCATTACATGCAAGTACACTTAATAGAATTGTCCAGCATTGAGATAAATAGCCCCAGATCACTAATACCACCATTACCAAATTTTATTTTCAACAAATGTCAAGTAAAAAAGATACCGTTAGCTCCAACCTTCTCACTTCTCGTTGTCTGTTTTCCTTGGTGTCAGTACTTACTACAGTGGGATGTCGTACATAGTGGTATAAAGTAACCGACTACGTAATCCACGAAACAAGGTTTCACATTTTGTGGGCACACGAATGGGTGATGATTGCAAATGGCTTCCGTAAACAAACGTTTCATTCACGAGTGGAATATGAGGCATTTTCAATTTGCTGAATCAATGAATAAAATAATCACTGTAAATCAGTGTGTATACAAAATGAAATCATGCATTTAAAATATGAATTTTGATGCGCTTTTCATATATCCACGAATCAAGGTTACGCGAGTGTATATGTTATTTTATTTTCAGAAATTTTGTAGACAGTGCAATATCTGTACTCACATTCCCATATGAAGCGGCGTAAAACCATACTCACTCACTCCCATATGAGTGATTTCTCACAGTCAAATTCTCAATAGAATTAACATATTTTTAGATGCAAATTATTATTTCCTGATGACTAACTGCACTTGTATGTATATGATAACTTTGTCCAGATGATGGCAGAACAAAACCTTTACCCAGAGCTGGACATGTACCTGACCCAACAGAGTACAAGTGTTTGATACGGGCAACCCTTGGCAGCAAGAAGATCAGTACAGTTGTGAGTAGCACAAATAGACACAGCCATATCCCTCTTTGTCTGGGACTTGTGAAACTAAAAGACTGACAGGATTTTTTATATCAAAATCCACCTATTTTGCGCAACCACTTGTCCAAAATCAGCTGCTGGCCTGTTCGATGACCAATTGTGTCTACCCCTGAGTATGTTTTGCACATTTTGTGGTCAGGGTATAAGGTATCACATAGAGCCTCTCTTGAAATACTTTGGGTGTGTCAAATAGACACTATAACATGTATAAGGACATTATGAAAGCAACTGATGTGGAGTTCTATATTCCCAAGTCATGTCAACATGGATGGCATTTTGAATGATCTAGAAAGTCATAGTGATAGTATTATATTAAACTATCATGCTATATGGTTTATGTCAAAGAATATGAAGATGTTGAATCTAGGAAGGTTATCTCTTTAATTATAATGCCACTGTGATTATCATGTTTATACAAACAAATATAAGTTTGTACCTTTATTGGCCATTATTGGACCAATATAAGTGAATGTTTTAAATGCACACACCGACAAGAACAAATCTCTGATTTGTAATAGGTCTGAAATGTACAGTCAAACACATCAATTGCTTTATATCTTCTTTATTACCACGATCATCTGATTTATCAAATTAGTTTGACATGCTGAAATATTTTAACGAGTAGGAACCCTTCTGATCTCATCAACTACTTGTTCAATCCTGACTATGTACACGGATGAGTTAATGTATATGTTTTTTGTTTTCAGGTGCATCAGAAGGATGTTAATAAGTTTCAGTTGGTAAGTCTCTTTCAAAGTTGCAGGGGCAGTTGGATAGCCTAGTGGTTAAAGTGTTCGCTCATCACGCCGAAGACCCGGGTTCGATTCTCCATATGAGTACAATGTGTGAAGCCTGTTTCTGGTGTTATTGCTGAAATATTGCTATAAGTGGCGTAAAACCAAACTCACTCACAAAGCAAAGCAAACCTGAACATAGCAAGTGGTTTAGCTTGTGCATGTGTAAATAAGTCAACAGTCAGTGAGGGTATAAAGTGGTTCATTCCAGCTGGACCCTTGAAGATCCAGGTTAGAATTGGTCTTGAGTAACCAATGCTTGTCGTAAGAGGCGACTTACGGGATTGGGTGGTCAGGCTCGCTGACTGGGTTGACGCATGCCATTGTATCCAAGTTTCGTAGATCGATGCTCATGCTATTGATCCCTGGAATGTGGTCCAGACTCAATTATTTACAGAACGCCGCCATATAGCTGGAATATTGTTGAGGGTGGCGTAACACTCAACTCACTCACTCATTGCAGCTGTCTGCTGACTTGGTTGACACATGTCATTGTATCTCATTTGTGTAGATTGATGTTGTGCTGTTGGTCACCAGATTGTCTGGTCCAGATTTGATTATATACTGATGCTGCCATATGGCTGGAATATTGCTAAGTGAGGAATTGAGTTTAAACAGCAAACAAAAACAAAAAACAAATCATTCCAGCTGCAGCTGTGCTGCATTCTTTGAATTTGAAACTTGGACATGTCATCTCATATTATCTGTGTGGCCCCTTGACAATGACCCAGAGTATGGGGCCCCTTAATAATGACCCAGAGTATGTGTACATACCATGTGTCCTGATTTGTTTATTTGTTTTCACCTTCCAGGCATATGCAAATCTTCTCAAAGGAAACTTGGATGGTATGAAGAAGAAAGACAAATCAAAGAAGAAGAAAGCCACTCAGTAGACGATGGTCGTATACATTGTCATAAAATATCATCACCCTGTCTAGTGAACACGGCGGACATGAACTTTGTTGTGGTTTTGATGTCTCGACTGGCCTTCCATCTTTCCACTGCACATATTTATCAAATACATGGCAAATACAACTCCAAATCTTGTGGTTGTGTACAGGAGACGTTCAATGAATTTCACTTAAAGCCATACACGTTTCCTACAGTCCAGGCCTAATGTATGTAATCAGTTCCACAAGAGCTGTTTCAGGCCATGAAGCCCCAAAATAATAGGCTTTAGGTCTGCCAATCATCCTCTCATCATCAATGATATTCAAGAATCAAGGTCCATAAATATCCAATCTGAATCTTGTATTGAAGTTTCAGTTTAATCATGAAAAACTCAATTTCATTTACCTTCTTAACATGGTCTTTATGACTATTTCTTTCTTTCAAGATGCGGGAAGATAACCAGATGGTTTTGTTTTTAGAATAAAAAGTAGTGAACTATTGTGTGGTCTTGTGTGATGAGATAACAAAGTTCCTTGTTGATGTTGTTAACCTGGGCTTCCCCATACATTCAGATTTTAACTATTTTGCTCAAAGAAAATGTTTTCTGTAAAATGAAGTATATATCAGTTCTATACAAATCTTTAATTTAGTATAATTAAGTCAGTCCGACTTCAGTGTATGACAACACTAATTCTGAGAGCCGTTAGTGTGCCAATGTGCAAAGTAGAGTTACTTCCCTTACCTGTCTTATGCAGGGTTACTTCCCTTCCTATCTGACCATGTTGTGGTATTGACATACCTGTTTCTGTCAGTGAACTTGTTGGGGACCGTTCATAATTTATGGCTAGCGGGGATGATGATGATTTTGTGTGTAGAAGCATGTACAATGTGAATGACCCCCCCTAAAATTCATGTACAAAATAAGTGACCCCCACTGCATGTCATGTACAAAATCAATGACATCCCTCCCCTTCCCATAATTTCTAAGCATAATATTAAACATATTTTTATGTACAAAATTGCTGACCCCCACCTAGTACGTGTGTACAAAATTGCTGACCCCCCTGGCTCCCCAGAACAAAATAGGTGATCCCCCTTAAAATCATCCAAACCCCCAACCCCTTCACCCACTAGCCATAAATTATGAACGGTCCCTTACAAGCTACTTGTAAACGTGACAAATGAGTTGGCATGAACTGTTTTGATGTATGCACTGGCATGTGCTAGTGAATAAGTTATGGTTATGTTATGAGTAATGGAGGTTAAATGATTCTGTAATTCTTTGACAATAGCTGCTGTATGTGGTCAGTTTGACATGACAATATGCGAGCACCGTCACACATTTTATGTCTATGAAAGGACCTCTAAAACTGGACCTATGAAATGATTAACTGAACCCTGTGTCAAGATTTAGTAACACTGTATATTTGTTGTTTTACCAATATGTGGTCCGTTTTGGAGGAGCATGTCCTTGTCCAACAAAACAACAGAGGACATAGATAGACTGAGTTGCTTAATGCCTGAAGATGATTCAGTAATATATGGTATTTCTTTGTGATTCAACACAATGAGTGTATTTATATTGTATATACGAACACAGAATAAAGCTCAGTCAGTAGCCTTATGTGTTTATTGTGTGTGGTGGTGGTGGTGTTGACATTTGAACCACGTGCCTATTTGAGTGCTGCTAGTGCCATGTGCTTCTGTTGTGAGCCAACTATTGTATATTCCAGCTATATGTCTGATGTCTGTAAAAAAATGATTCTGGACCTTTCTATCCAGTGATCAACAGCATGAGCATCGATCTATGCAATTGGGATACAATGACATGTGTCAACCAAGTCAGCCAGTCTGACCGTCAGATCCCGTTAAGGGCCTCTTACAACAGGCATCGGTTGCTGTCAACTTGCTGAAGACCAATTCTAACCAGGATGTTCGAACTATAAGAGCACCAGTAAAAATATTAGAATTTGTTTTCAGCAACCTAGCTGGTCCTAAGAGGAGACCTGGATGCATAGTTTCATCCACTGATTGGGTGATGCATGTCATAATATCCCAGAGTTGTGTCCCTTGGGCATGCCAGACACCTGACTGGGTTCCAGTCTGGTTTGCCCAGATTATGTTTTTAGGTTCTAAGCACCATGCTTATGTTCGCGGTAATTGTCTGAGAGATGGATTACTTCAGGTTTTCTTTATCAGCCAACAATTATATAGGCAACATCGGTCAGTGCAAGCATGTCCCCCGCCGTGATATTGCTGGAATATTGTTAAAAGCGTCGTAAAACTTGCCTCACTCCCTCGATCAGCACAATGATGAAATACATGCCACTCTCATTTCTTTATCAGCCTATCAGGAAACAGTAGTCAGTTAATATTCGTGACTACTAATTCTGTCGGTTTTTGGAAAAACTGAACTGTCAATTAAACTACACGGTATCCCTTGCATTTTACGTGTTGGATAGTCTATACGAGTCTGTGACGTGTGGAAATAATTCATTTGTTTTGTCAGGAAATAATCACAGGACACATTTTTTAGAATTGTTATTTTTAATGGGGAAGTAAAGCTTAGCTTTTTCCCGATGTAAACATGGACACATAACAAATGTCATAGATGGTCATGTTCAAGCAGTTCCTCCTTTATAGGATGTATTTCTGGTTTAGACAAATATAATCACTGTGATAAATAAAATGTTTGGTATGGAGATAAGAAGGTAAGGCGACGTCACCAGCCCTACGTCGACGCTGGTATGAATGTTAGACGTATTGTTTTAACATTTCGAGGTCTTGACACTCGCAGACGATCTTGGCAATTCCAGCTGGGTCAACGTCCTCACCGCAATGCGAGTTGATACACGCCTCCAGATCCTGGAACAACCAATCACAGAGTTTCAAACTGGACGGAATGGGTAGGGGAGAGAACTGCTCTGAATTTTGTTACCCGTAGAGAACTACGATTGGGCGCTATGAACAACAACTCAGTGTCCAGGAGCGTACGAACGATTTTCAGAGTGTGTGCCTGTGTGTGTGTGTGTGGTGGTGGTGGTGGTGTGTGTGTGGTGTAATTTATGAAATGTATTAAAAATCAAAAGTGGGGGGCTAAGCTTCCCCCCCCGTTCCTACATCCCTGGTGTCAGTTAAATGTTGCTTGGTTGTTTAACGCCACACTCAGCAATATCCCAGATACATGGCGGCGGTCTAAACAATCGAGTCTGGAACAGACAATCCAGTGATAACAGCTTGAACATCGATCTACGCAATTGGCATACGATGAAATGTGGCAACCCAGATGATTGAGAAAAGGAGGGGTGCACACTTCATTTTCACCAGAGTTTCAATGGTCATTTAACAAACTTTCAGCACAAAAAAGGGGTGCGCACGCACGCACGCACGCACACACACACTGGATCCGCCTATCCAACGAAGTCAGCGAGCCTGACCACCCGATCCCGTCAGTCGCCTCTTACGACAAATTCTAACGCGGATCATCACGGGTCGTTTAATGTAGGACGAAAGCCTGTAGTGATACAGGTCTGAGGCGTTTGACACATCGATGAAACCCACGAGCATGACTATGGCACAGACAAACCAAGATAATCATGGCGAAACACCATGAGAATCCTCGACCACATATTTTTGGTCTGCCCAAGGGACGTAACTGTACGAATTTAGTCGACTAGGCTGTGGTAACCCATGTTTGATGACACGAACAAGAAATGGTTTTACTGAGTTGAGGTATTTGGTACAGGTATCATATAGTAGTGACTTTAAGTTTGCAATTTTTCAGCGACTGTTTTCAGCTTAGTAACGTTTTGATGACGTTTGCAATTTTTTCGACAAATCCAATTTTCATGTGTAGGCTATCTGTATCTCGACTGTTTAATAGAACTGAGTGAGTACTATTTCACGGGTTGCAACACTTTTGCAGCTATTAGCGGCGAGAAATGTCTTTTAATATTTTTACAATACACTTATTAAACTCTTCGTTTCCTATTCCTTCACCTAAAAATATACACAAACTATTGCTGTATGCTTTAAAGTATTTTTACACACAGACACATTGGAGTTCGTGATTGTTTGGTTCACAGAAATATGATTGATTCCGGCACTCCAGTGGAACACGGCGGACGGTTGGATAGCCTAGTGGTTAAACAGTTTGCTCTTAACGCCAAAGACCGTTCGATTCCGTTCATGGGTACAATATGTGAAGCCCATTTCTGGTGTCGCCGTGCGAAGGGGTAGCCTAGTCTAACTGTGTCACAATCCATTCATAGCACATGGATAGACCACCACATTTTGAATCACTTACACTATCAAACATTTATATAGACACACGCTAATACATCAATGATTATACTCCGTCACCTTTCTCACAAACATATTGCCCCGCCGACATTAAGATCGTCTTGGGTTCGTAAATATTCCATGTTTTAACAAATAAAATTCAAGAAAACTGGCTGTTCTCGAAATTTCTCGACAGATCAAGATGCAACTTCCCTGTATCTATGCATCTACTTCGATGTTGTCCATTCTAAATCCACTAAAGGGAGTGAAAATAACGTGACATTTAGCCAATACACATGCAAGTTTGAGGCGGCGGATGTGATTACCAAGCAACGTTGATAAAAAATGTGAGTTAAAATTGTGGCAATAATCCAGCAAAGAGCTTCACTCATTGTACCCAAGTGGGGAGTCAAACCCGTCTTCGGAGTGAGAGCAAACGCTTTTACCACTTGACTACCCCAAGCCCATTGCCAAGCAAAGAGAAAAGATTGCTGTAAACCGTAGCAGTTAAAATAACGTGTCCGGAATACGTATGTCCGTATTAGCGAGGTGTTTACTTACTGCGGCGCATATTTGACAGATGTACATGCATTTGTGTGATGCACTTATATCCGATTCCGACAGGTTCCCATCAGGAAGCAGGCGCATCACACCTGTCACAGGTGTATACAGGTACGCAGTCAGCACACACGCAAGAAGGAGGAGGGACGTCATACTTCAGTGTGGACTCCCGCTCTGAAATAGGAGATTCATGGTGAAATGTACTTACTACCTTTGATGTTGTATTGACACACACGTCATGAAAATACAGAATGTCAAGGCCAAAGAATGTCAAGGTCAAAGAATGTTAAGGTCAGAGAATGTCAAGGTGAAAGAATGTTAAGGTCAGAGAATGTCAAGGTGAAAGAATGTTAAGGTCAGAGAATGTCAAGGTCAAATAATGTCAAGGTCAGAGAATGTTAAGGTCAGAGAATGTCAAGGTCGAGGAATGTGATGGACAATCTCGAACTCAGACGAAACAGTTTTCATTGGACGTAAAAACCAACTTGTGGTGAACATTCTATGAATGGTTCACTGAAAATCAGTGATGACACCACGTGTTCGCGAAAAGGCTCCCGATGTACCGGAAACATCCGACACCAGGACATCCAGTGACATATGAGAGTATTTACTGCTTTTGTTGACGTTAGGGACGTTAATAATAATTGATAGGAAAGTGTTTAAGGTGGTTTTAAATATTATTCCACTTATATCTCATCGTGTCAGCTTAATGTAGGACGAACGTCGAATTGACCAATTACACGTTTGCCACCTCTGCAATGCCGACAACAGCTAAAAACATAATGAAGATGAATCCGTAAACGCTTTGATCTATATATCATTCATGTTAAAAATCTATAAAATAATACTGTAATCAGTTCCATTTCTATCAATACGATGCATACTTATTAGTATTTTCCGACAATTCCTGATTAGACGGAAAATACTACACTGATCAATGTCATTGGTTTTCCGTCCGTAATCATGGTAGCGTAGCGGTTTAGATAAACAGACAGACACAATTCCGTTAAACAAATTCGGACGAGACTTTTGTGACACATTACTTGTGACAGTGTATCGAAATCTAGTCACCTTGATGTGTATAACAAAGATAGCAAAACTCCTAATCTTTCTATCTTTGTGAACTGTTATAAAGAACCAACTCCAACAATGTCTCCCTCTCACGTCACCTGTGCGGCTTACTTCTACAGGAATGAGGTCTTGGTGTCGACCAGTCTAAGTAAACTTAGCCTCAGTATTTATAACGAATAGTACTGAGACTAAGTTTACTTAGACTGGGTGTCGACAGACCACAACTGTGACTCGAACCTACCAGTTATTTGCTCTTACCTGAGAGAAATAGCGTCTTGATAACCAATGATGGCTTCCTCCCCTGGTTTGAAAGTTTATATCATGTTACGGCAACAGCTGATGAAGGTGTGGCTGGTTTCTGGAATGTCTACGTAGTTAGTTTCAATTGAATTAAATTACATTGTATTTTTTTCATAACCCAAACCATTATGTTGATGTATTCTGATCGACATATTCATGTCTATGTATGGTAACTGCGATGTTTGATGGGGGTGTTTCTGTTGAACGTATAGATTTTGTAATTATACGGCCGTTGACCAGGTGTTACAGGTGTGTTCAGGTAATTCCATATAGACGCAAATGGATGTCGCATCTAGCACTGAAGATCATGACCTAGATGTAAACAGACCTGACACACTTTCGATGCAATGACGCATACCATTATGTGTATATCTTCTTTTGATGGATGCGGTTGAGTATTTGCCCATACAGTAGTTATGAAGACATTGATCTCGGTCTGTCAACATCTGTGCGCATTTACAGTACAACCAGAAATTATTGAGAATTTAAAGATTGTAAAACATTTACTTTTTTCACTCATTACTCACGTATTAAATGTGAATATTAGCAGAACATAACTCCAGATTCAAAGACAGGTGAACAGTTAGTATTTTGTCAAGTCACCATGGGCAGCAATGCAGGCTTCAATGCGGCGGGGCATACTACTGATCAAAGAAGTTAGAAAGTCGTGGTCCATGCTGTCCCAATATCGGACCACCTCTTCTTTCATTTCAGCAATATTTGTCAGATTTTTCTAATTGACAATTTCCTTCATAAGTCCCCAAACATTTTCTATTGGATTTAGGTCAGGGCTATAGCTTGGCCAATCTAATAATGTCATATTTTGGGTCCGAAACCAGCCTGTGAATGCTTTGAACGATGTTGCGGGTCGTTGTCCTGCTGGAAAATCCAAAGATTTCCATAGAACACGTGAGCAGATGGAAGTAAATGTCCCTCGAGAATATCTGTGTACCGCTCACTGTTCATATTCCCTTCAAATACACAGAGGGGCGTTGCCCCAAACACAAGTATGCCACCCCACCCGTTAAATTTCGGACTGTACTTTGGGCGCTGATACAAAGGTTTTTCAGTTTGTTTGGTCCAGAATTTCAGTGTATTAGGAAACAGCCACACAGAGCTTTCATCTGAGAAAATCACATTGTCCCAGTTAAAATTTCTATGCTGTAAGCAACAGTTCAACCTTCGCTCCTTTTGTTCAGGTTTCATGATTGGTGATGGATTTCCTCGACTTTTCTGCCAACCCATTGCATGCAGCTCAGTTCTAATTGTCACCTTACAGACAGCCACAGTTCCTCTGTCAATCATATCCAGCCTTAAGTTTTCTAAACTCCTTCGTTTGTATTTAGAAACAAGAATACCAAGCCGCCTCTTGTCACCGTTAGTCAATTTTCTGGGCCTACCTGCGCCTCCCTCGTGCTCAATGCCATATCCATTTGCAATATTTTTCAAAACACGATAAACAGTGGACAAAAGGATGCCTGTTCTACTTGAAATCACTTTAGCTGATCTGATGTCCTTGTTATAATACTCTAAAATCAACTTCCTCTTCTCTAAATCATCCATACTGAGGATCACTGAAAATGTCGCCTGCTAGCAAGTAAACAAAGGGGGATAACTCTTCACAAACTAATGAAAAAGGATTAACGGAGTTGTCTCTCTTGAATGAAACCAAGCACTTGATAGCTGGTCACGGTTGTTTATACTAGAAATCTAATTAAACATATTCCTAAAATTCTCAATAATTTCTGGTCATACTATATGTGTGTCCATCTGTCCCAGGTATCTCTCCATGTCTCAGAGTAACTCTCTCTCTCTTCTCTCTCTCTCTCACTCTCTCTCTTCTCTCTCTCTCTCTCTCTGAGAGACACACTGAAATGGTCAATTTCATCAGGCTGTAGGAGACTTCACACGGTCTGCAGGCAGGGGGCACGTGCACGTCCAAGCTTTCTTGGATCCACTCAGCTTATTCCACTACAGCATAACCTCCGACAGCAATGGGGGTAATGTATTGTAAAAAATCACTGTAAACCGTCAACGCCGTATAGTTCAAAAACCTTTATGACAAATTTTGAAGGCATTTATTTTTTAAATTAGGTATAGATTTTACTTATTTAAAGACACCTTACTCGTGTTTACTGCTGAATGGCATTGTAGTAATAAATCTGTACACGTTGTCATGGTGAGGCGTTCACATAATATTTCAATTTTTGTGTAAAATGCTTAGCGGACGTATTTTAGCTCAAACAAAAATATAATATGAAGGATAACCTTTCCGTCCAATCAATAAAAAATTAGTTATGCAGTCATTGTAGCTCACCTGCATAGATTTGTTCAGTTATATTCCAGATGAAAATTTTCCAGTGTGGACAAGACAATCCAGTGTTTGACATTATATGTTTGGCATCCGTCCAATTGGTAACGATAAACTGGTTTAGTGGCAGTTGGGGTAAGTAATAAATTTGACATTTATTATCTACTATTTGTGCTTAGAAAGCCAAATGCTCAAAGATAATATGCCCAAGACACCCACCAACATTTGTGTATCATGATAAAAAAATCTTCATGACTGAAAGCTTTAAATCTTTAAGAAAATATAACATGCAGATATATTATTTGAGTGGAGACTAAGTGTCACTCAGGTCAGGTTTACAAATAGAATATCGCTGTTCCAAGATATCTTCAGTTGAAATCAAACGTATGATAAAATCAAATGTGAGGGACGGTTTTTTTGCTCCTGATCTCGAAGAAATAGGATTCGATACTTAATCGTATTCCATAATTCAACGGGATTATGATACACTAGACGGTGAGTGAGTAAGACTTTACTCCGCTATTTGCAATAGAACTGGATTCAACACTTAACTGTGTTCCGTAATTCAACGTGCTTATGATAAACTAGAGTGAGTGAATGACTTTAGTTTTACAAAACAAGCATTATGATAAACTAGACAATGAGTGAACGACTTTACAAAACAAGCATTATGATAAACTAGACAGTGAGTGAATGACTTTAGTTTTACAAAACAAACATTATGATAAACTAGACAATGAGTGAATGACTTTACAAAACAAGCATTATGATAAACTAGACAATGAGTGAATGACTTTACAAAACAAGCATTATGATAAACTAGACAATGAGTGAATGACTTTAGTTTTACAAAACAAGCATTATGATAAACTAGACAATGAGTGAACGACTTTACAAAACAAGCATTATGATAAACTAGAGTGAGTGAATGACTTTAGTTTTACAAAACAAGCATTATGATAAACTAGACAATGAGTGAATGACTTTACAAAACAAGCATTATGATAAACTAGAGTGAGTGAATGACTTTAGTTTTACAAAACAAGCATTATGATAAACTAAACAGTGAGTGAATGACTTTACAAAACAAGCATTATGATAAACTAGACAATGAGTGAATGACTTTACAAAACAAGCATTATGATAAACTAGACAATGAGTGAATGACTTTACAAAACAAGCATTATGATAAACTAGACAATGAGTGAATGACTTTACAAAACAAGCATTATGATAAACTAGACAATGAGTGAATGACTTTACAAAACAAGCATTATGATAAACTAGACAATGAGTGAGTAAGGTTTTACGCCGCTTTTAGAAATATTCCAGCAATATCATGGCAGAGGACACAAGAACTGGGCTTCAAACACTGTACCCATGTTGGGCAATGACGAGCCACATGGCTACTCAAGTAAACAAGATAACCTCTGGCCGCTTTATTGTCTATTTCGAAGTTTGACTGTACGCCTACTGGCAGTCAGCAGACTGGCAAGACGCAGAACTGACGTCATACTTCAGTGTGGACTCCCATTCTTAAATAGGAGATTTATGGTGAAATGTACTTACTACCTTTGGATGTTGTACTGACTTCACACACTTCATGACTGACTGACTGACTGAGTTTGGTTTTACGCCGCTTTTAGCAATATTCCAGCAACGTCACGGCGGGGGACACCAGAAATGGGCTTCACACAATGTACCCATGTGGGGATTCGAACCCGGGTCTTCGGCGTGACGAGCCAACGCTTTAACCACTAGGCTACCCCACCGCCCCCACACACTTCATGAAAATACAGAATGTCAAGGTCAAAGAATGAGGCTACCCCACAAACAAGATAACTACTGGTAGCCTTATCGAAGTTTGTTTATTTCGAAGCTGGACGAGCAGGACTGCACGTCTACTGGTTGGACGTTTCCTGTGCATACGTTTCCTGTTGGGAATACGTATCCGTATTCATCGTCGGAGAGATGTACTTATCCAGTAACTCTGTGTTGTTGCATGCCCTCCCTATATACACCAGGTCGACGACGTTGCAGTAGGTGCGGCTGCAGGCGGTGTTGACGCAGAACATCAACATTTGTGGCTGAAATATATTTGGAAATGATAATATATATTTGTGTAGATATTGTTGAACACACGTTATTGAACTGAGTCAGTTAGGTCTGTATATGTACCGTTTCCAATCAGTTAGCTCCAGTAGGATTGCATACAATAACCCAAAGATATCTTATCCTTGATCGGGTGGTCACAATGCACGACTTGCCTGCTTGCCGTATTACGCCAGAGCGGCTGTTCAGTACGATCGATAGATGTACATGTACTTCGTATCAGTCACTCACAGGCAAACTGTAGCGCAAACATGGTTGCGCAACAAAGAGAAAATGACCAGTCTTCGTATATCGCTTCGCGCGCATATACGAAGACTGGTAATGTTCTCTTTGTTGCGCAACCCTGTTTGCGCTACAGTTTACCTGTGAGTCACTGGACAGACTGACCCAGACTCGGTTATTTGCGAAACGTGGTACACATAGTATATGGGTGAGTGCGACATAAAACAACATACAACCAATCAGTCGTCTCATCCAGCACCAACGGTAGATGCATAAGAACGAAGGTTCTCTGAAGCACACACGGCTTAAACCGCTGTCACTAGTGATTGTATACAATTCCCTGTTCATGATGATGAAGTCAAAGCTGCCGAAAGAGGGCGCAAGAGTTATTAAGTTGCCTTGACGATGAGAAACTGAGACAATGGTAATTGACATTACGGTTGTATTTGTGACTGCATTCCACGAATGAACCTTTGTTTGTTTGTTTGTAGGTTGGTTGTTTAACACCACATTCCGAAAAATGCCAGTTATATGGCGGCGGTCTGTAAGTAATCGAGTCTAGACCAGACAATTCAGTGATCAACATCACGAGTATCGTTCTACGCAATTGGGATATAATGACATGTGTCAACCAAGTCAGCAAGCCTGACCACCCTATCCGTTAGTCGCCTCTTACGACAAGCATGGGTTACTGAAGACCAATTTTAACCCGGATCTTCACGGGGTCATTGGTTGTAGCCTTACCGATATACTATAGTGTTGATTGTCCACCGCTCTTGTTGTAGCCTTACCGACATACTAAAGTGTTCATTGTTCACCTCACTTGTTGTAGCCATACCGATATACTATAGAGTTAATTGTTCACCTCACTTGTTGTATCCTTAAAGATATACTATAGTGTTCATTGTTCACCTCACTTGTTGTAGCCTTAAAGATATACTATAGTGTTCATTGTTCACCTCACTTGTTGTAGCCTTACCAATATACTATAGTGTTCATTGTTCACCTCACTTGTTGTAGCCTTATCGATATACTATAGTGTTCATTGTTCACCTCACTTGTTGTAGCCTTAAATATATACCATAGTGTTCATTGTTCACCTCACTTGTTGTAGCCTTTCCAATATACTACAGTGTTCAATGTTCACCTCACTTGTTGTAGCCTTATCGATATACTATAGTGTTCATTGTTCACCTCACTTGTTGTAGCCTTAAAGATATACTATAGTGTTCATTGTTCACCTCACTTGTTGTAGCCTTAAAGATATACTATAGTGTTCATTGTTCACATCACTGGTTATAACCTTATCGATATACTATAGTGTTAATTGTCCACCTCAGTGGTTGTAGCCTTACCGATATACTATAGTGTTCATTGTCCACCTCACTTGCTGTAGCCTTACCGATATACTATAGTGTTAATTGTCCACCTCAGTGGCTGTAGCCTTACCGATATACTATAGTGTTAATTGTCCACCTCAGTGGTTGTAGCCTTACCGATATACTATAGTGTTAATTGTCCACCTCAGTGGTTGTAGCCTTACCGATATACTATAGTGTTCATTGTCCACCTCAATGGAATGTTCAGTCAATTTTAGAACCGTAAGAAGGGGTAAACACTAAAGAGTATCGCCTCAATATCACTCACGTTCTCCCAGAAACACATCTCACAGATGTAGAGACAGGCCATGTCCGGTCTCACAAGCGGATCTCGCAGATGAGTGACAGGAAGCACCGGACCGGACTCATTTGACGTCACTACCGGTATGCAGGCAAGCACTGCGCATGTCAGAATGAGTACTGTAACTGTTGACATGATTCACTGAAAGTAGCAAAGAGACATTATGGCGTCAACAGACAATTGTAGCGCAATAACATTGATAGTTTTACCATTGCTAGCTCTTGTTTTGACTGAAACATAGTGTGAGTGAATTAAGTTTTACGCCGCTTTTAGCAATATCATGGCGGGGGACTCCAGAAATGAGCTTCACACATTGTACCCTTATGGGTATCGAACCCGGGTCTTCGGCGTGACTGACCACTAGGCTACCCCACCGCCCCCCTGAAACATACAATATATTTGAAACCATTTCAGTGTATTCCTTGATGTGTGATTGAAAGGATGAGCTAATCGATATTAAACGATCGATTTAAGAGATTCGTTAACACTTACACTGACATGAAGGGGGATATTATGAAGAGCTTAACATGGAATATATTAAATGGTGTTTCATTTGTAGAATTGCTCCAGTGGTGCATATAATCCCTAGGATGATTGAGATACATCCATGCATTAGTAAAAGAACGAAAGAAGAAAACAGATTGTCTGGACCTTTGTGATGACTGGGTGACATTGTACCGAGGTGTAGTGTCTAGTCATTGTGGTTTCGGTCACTAGTTTGTCTGGCCCCAGGTGAAGTATATACAGGTCGCCGACACAAAGTAGCTGTTGCTGACTACGGCGTTGAACAGCATTTACTCCCTCTCGCCACTAAATGCGTGAATGCTTTTGGTGGCAGAATGGAAACAATGCAAATACAGTTTCAGATGAATGACACGGAGCAGTGTCTCTCTCATACAAGACTGTCTAGCATGTCATAGTTCTTGCATGTCAGACTGTCGAGCATGTCATAGTTCTTGCATGTCAGACTGTCGAGCATGTCATAGTTCTTGCATGTCAGACTGTAGAGCATGTCATAGTTCTTGCATGTCAGACTGTCGAGCATGTCATAGTTCTTGTATGTCAGACTGTCGAGCATGTCATAGTTCTTGCATGTCAGACTGTCGAGCATGTCATAGTTCTTGCATGTCAGACTGTCGAGCATGTCATAGTTCTTGTATGTCAGGCTGTCGAGCATGTCATAGTTCTTGCATGTCAGACTGTCGAGCATGTCATACTTCTTGCATGACAGTCTATCTAGCATATCATACGCTTTTGCATGTCATGACAGTTTAGTATGTCAGACTGTCTAGTATGTTAAACTGTTCAGCACATCATACGCTCAAGCATGCCATACTCTCTTGCGTTTTAGACTATCCTTCATGTCAGACTCCATAGCATGTCTAGTTCAAAAGCATGTTTTGTTTGTTTGTTTAACGCCGCACTCAGCAATATTCCAGCTATACGGCGGTGGTCTCTAAATAATCGAATCTGGACCACACAATCCAGTGATCAACAGCATGAGCATTGACCTACGCAATTGGGATACGATGACATGTGTCAACCATGACAGCGAGCCCGACCACCCGATCTCGTTGGTCGCCTCTTAAGACAAGCATAGGTTACTGAGACCAATTCTAGCCCGGATCTTCACGGGTGCCCCAGCATGTCAGGCTATCCAGCACGTCATATGCCCAGGCATGCCATGGTCTCTAACATGTGGTACTCTCTGGCATGCCAAACTTCCCAGCATGTCAGTCTCACCAACATGTCAGATTCTCACCAGACATGACTACAGGCGACGAGTAATTATTACCGTCAAATCTTTAAAGAAATCAACCCTCAAATGAAGCACAAACTCTTTAGTATTTAGGATAATCCGTTCGGTGCAGTGGAGAACGAAACGTGCCTGAACATATGATCGCTCACGGCATTGGCGAATTCAGTTCCAATGAGCCAGAACAACCTCCCTCAGTTTTCTAAAACCGTGTCTCCAGTACGGCGGCCCGAACATGTTCGTTAGAAAGCAGATCCTGAAATAGACATTGCCCGACCATGGATTCAATGCGGTGGGAGTATCTACGGTTGCGTGTGGGAGAGAGTGATTCTACACACTGTGCCTGACCACGTGGATGAATGGAGACTGCACCAGCTTCACATGGTGGAGTAAGGAATTCTCATGTCCACCTCTTGATGACCAGTGTATGCATGCCAGCAGTTATCACGGCACATATGTGTGTATTTTTTAACTTTGAAAAGGGCCCAGAATCATGCAAATAATTCTTGTATAAACATGTAGACCTGAAACCTTTTTCATTGATTTGCAAAACCATGAAGTTCAGTTTCGTAGAAGATATATACGAGTCGAAACGCAAACGGCAATCCAAATTCTCATATCCAAGATCTAAAACGCTAACAGATACTATGTCATTTCCAGTAAGTTTGATGCAAGAGTATGACGCCCATTTCCCTCTAGTAGGCTGACACAGTCCAACGGTTCTCCTGTTGGAATTAAAGGTTGGAATTGGTCCCCAACAACCCTCGCGATCTGCGCATTACGGTATGAGGGACAAGGCTCGCTGACTTGGTTGTTGTGTATGATGGTATCCCAACTGCAATGCTCATGATGTCAATCACTTGTTTGTCATGTCCAGAATATTTTCATCCTGCTGTCATATAGCTGGATCATGTAACAATTCAGGTTTCCTGCACTGAGCGACAGTGTTCAATCTTTTTAGTTTTCACATGACTGGTTAGACGGTTCACAAACGAAGCCGCCGTGGAACTTTAGGGGTGCGGTGTAAAACAACATCCAGTCCTTCACCCCGGGGTATATGGAGTCGTGTTACTATGTATCATTTCACCATTCAAATGCTTCACTTTGTTGTGTGTCCTGGCTCTCAATACACATGGTTCTGGAAACTGATCACAACAGCAATAATCATGATCATAAACTCTGTCAAAAAAAGAAACGCAACCCCTGTATTTTAGAGATTTTGATCTGAAGTTTTAGGACGACACGGCATTTTTATTATTTAAGACAGAAGTCTGAAATTTGGCAGAATAATAACCCAGATGGGCATGTTTAAAATTGTCATTTCAAAAGTCATCTCACAGACACCAGTTTGTCACCAGGGGGGGCGTCTTTCTCAGTATCTCGTATGAGCACCACGCGCTGCAATCACTGCACGGCATCTCCTTGGACAAGAACGGATAAGACGCCGGATTCTTTCCTGGGGAATGGCTCTCCACTCCTCCTGCAGTGCAACGGCGAGCTGTTGCAGCGTCTGTGGCGGCGGCTGACGTTGACGTACGCGTCGATCCAGAGTATCCCACAGGTGTTCAATAGGGTTGAGGTCTGGTGATTTAGAGGGTCATGGCAAGACATTGACGTTGGAATTCTGCAGAAAGTTCATTGTTGCACGTGCAGTATGAGGCCGGGCGTTGTCCCGTTGAAAATCTGTGTCTGTTGGTCAATAATCGGGAGAAGGTGAAGCTCTAACACGTGGTTGATGTAACGTTGGGCTGTCAGGTTCCCTGGAACGATCACCAAGTCTGATTTCTGGTTGTATGAGATGGTTCCCCAAACCATGACGCTTTCTCCGCCAAATCTGTCCACCTGTCGGACGCAGATGGGCGCAAAACGTTTATGACGTCTCCTATACAGACGCTGTCTTCCGTCGTGACGTTGCAAAAGAAAACGTGATTCATCAGAAAACCAGATTCGCCTCCAGTTTTGTAAAGTCCGTATCCTTACGTTGTTGCACCACCTGAGTCGTCGGCGTCGATGTAGGGGCGTAGTACAGGTCCAACAACTGGTCTACAGGCACGTAAACCCGCTTCTTTCAGACGGTTCCTAATCGTTTGAGCTGACACTCTCCTCAAACCTGGTATTTGTGTGGCAGTCACGGTTGGTAGGGCATGCCGATTACGCAGGTGATGGACCCGGATGTACCGATCTTGAAGGGGGGTCGTGATTCTTGGCCTTCCACTTCTCGGGCGATCGTTGGTCAAATTGAAGTTGTTGTAGCGGCTCCAAAGTCGGGATATCGTTGTTTTAGTGAACATTTAGGTGCCGTGCAACAGTTCCAAAACTTTCTCCGGCTTGAACACGACCAATGGCTAGTAGTGATTTATGTCCTGTCCGTCTTGAACGACCATCCAGTTCTAAAATGTTTGTAAAATTATATGTGTTTTTTTTCATGTCTGCCTGAACGAAGTTCCAGTTTCATACAAATACAATAAACCTTGTTGTATGAAGATTAGAAGATGAGATATTAGTCTGTATTTTACCTAGTCTTATAATCTCACAGCTCTTTCCCCGTGCCGACACTATCACAGCAACAATCACACATACACTCTTCAAAAAAAAAGAAGAAAGAAATGAACAAGCGTTTTCAGCAGTTCATTTCATTATATTTTCACAGCAATCGTCATCAAGACAATTCCTATGTTTGAATCCCGTTAATCATGTCATGATTTTGAACGTAATGCACGTGCAATATTTCGGAAACATGAGTAAAGACTTTGACCATAAAAGGGCAAACCAAATTTACCATGTCATTACGAAATTTACGACGTAAACGAAGATTTGAAAAAAATGATTGAATGCTACTGACCGAAATTTCGCCATTGGACTTTTGGAAGCAGGGGGTCCCAGTCTGCCGTTGCAAGACACCTCAACGTCCACCACATCACCATATCACTTTTATGGAATCGATATACCCGCCTCAATTCGACCCAAGATCGTCCCAAAAGTGGCCACTCCTGCTACAGTAACGTACACTTCATCCAGGTGTTTCACCTACGTCACCGATTTGCTACAGCAACGGACACCGCAGGATAGGTGTCTGGTCTGGAATTTCCGACCAAACCATCAGAAATAGCCTGGGACAAGTGGGACTTAGAGCATATCTACCCAACGTTGGACCTGTCCTGACACGACTACGCCGACAACGACGTGTCCAATGGTGCAACAGGGTACAGGCATGGAACCTAGCTAGGGAACTGGAGACGAGTTTTGGTTCAGCGATAAATAGCGTTTCTTCCTGCAACGACGGGATGGGAGACAACGTGTCTATCGACGTCAACGCAAAACAGTTTGTGCCGAACAGATTGTTGGACAGATTTGGTGGAGAAAACGTCATGGTCTGGGGAGCCATGTCCTACACGGATACATCCGAGCTAGGGGTTACACGCACGCATGCACGCACGCACGCACGCACTCATCCTCGCGAGGTGGGCTAGGGGTATTTCTGTGAATTTAATTAGCAAATATCTTGATACTAGAATTTAAAAATTGTATTCTCATTTCCCTGTTAATCTTTTTCTGAAGCAAAAGGGTGAGATTCACACCAAATATTACCGATTATCGTTATCTAAAACACCGTAATTGCACTCGTAATTTGAAATATAAAACAGAGACTTACGGAAACTAATCGTATCATATATTTCACAGAATAATAAGCGTCATACCGGTAGAAGTAATGAATGTGGGTCCCCATTCGTCTGTTTGCCGTCGGCAACTTTCGAGGTGGGGGTGTTAATGGGGGTGGGGAGATTAAGGGGGGCAGGTTACCTTTTTACAAGCGACCTATACAGACTCTTCTTTAAAACCAGTTTATGGAAAATAGCAAGTGTCAATTTAAGTCGTATTTCGAGGCCCTTAAGGTTTACAAGTATGGCCACGTGTTGTGTTATAGTACAATATTGATTCCATACGCTTCAACAACATTTATCAATATCTTTAAAGCACGATTTGGTTCTCTCGATACACAATGTCACTACAAATGAATGAAAATGCATCAAAACACCCCTCAATTATCTTTATTCATCGATTAAATTAAATTACTTCTCCCAAATATAGATTTCGACAGAAAGATCTTATTTTAAATCAGTGTTTTGTTATTTGAATACAATCAGTCAATATTTCTTCCGACGAAATCATTGCATTACATGATGTGGTTAATTTAGTTTGGAACCCAAAATTTCCGCGCGAGTTATTTAAAGCTGAGGACAGGATGTTTCAGCTATATTTATATCCTGACATTTTCATTGATTATTGCTGGTGTGTTTAACCGAATTATTGCTTCGCTACATCAAAGTAGAAGACGATTAACGACTGTAGTAGTCATGGAGGGTTAACCGAGATTGTCATATTGCAAAACCACATTCAACACGTAACGTATCGCTTTGCTGAACTTAATTTTAATGGATGTGAAATAATCAATAACATTTTAAAGCAGGCTTGTTACTTTGAAACGACCAATAGTAACAATCTGGGCTCACTCATACACACGTTCAGGGCCTAGTTCCACAAAGCGGTAGTGCTACGACAGTATGGGAGTTACGACTGTCGTAGCGCTAAGAGAGCTTCGAAAATCTAGGCTCTGGGCCCTGAACGTGTGTATGAGTGGGTGCGTGAGGCGGGATTAAGGTCAGTTTGGAGAACATTCCAGGTATAATTGGGCATGACCCGGAAGGAAAACATGAAGTGGCGCAGGTCTCAGACGTTCATCCTTTCGGCGAAACCCACGAACACGGGTTTTGTGTTGATCCAGATCGTCAAGGATTCAGAGATCCTTACTTGGATATCAGGGGCGGTGGGTAGCCTAGTGTTTAGAGCGTTCACTCGTCACGCCGAAGGTCAGGGATGGTACCCCACACGTGTACAATGTGTGAAGCCCATTTCTGGTGTCCCCCGCCGTAATATTGTCGGAATATTGCTAAAAGCGGCGTAAAACTAAAATCACTCACTATTTGGATATATCCTTGCTTGATGGCGGTGAATGCTTAGGTACATAATTTCGATAATTTCCTTCTCTATTTGTATATTAATAATTTCGATAATTTCCTTCTCTATTTGTATATAAATAAAAAACAAAATTAAAACACATAATCTTAAGAATCTTACGGTGATCATGCCAGGTGTTCGCGATAACGTGAGCACATCCTGCTCCACAGCCACGTGAAGGCCTAGTGGATAACAACAGCAAAGGCCCGGGATCAATTCCAAAATGTGTGAGACCCATTTTTTGTGACCCATTTGAAATAATGCTTCATTATTACGACGTAAAGCCATATTCAATCATCCTCATTGGCCAGTGTACTTGTTTTAAAATTAATTAATTAAGAAACAGGTTGTGTCCCGTCTTGGCTGTTAATATTTTGTAAACCATTCGCTGCCTTTTCTGAACACGATAGTCAAGTGATTTATTTCAGAAGAATGTTTTAAAGATATACATACGAAACGAAATGTGTAAAATTCCGTGCAATTTACATTGACACCTACACATACATATATGGAATTTACCTAGTCTAGGAATTTACCGAACCAACTTTAATCGCTCTCACAATGTGTGTCGAGAATCTGTGGTTATGTGGACGGAGACTGTCCAGCGAGAGAAAGGTCAGTTGTACCATCCCTGACCGCACCAAAACTAAGGCATTGGGTCTCAGTGTGCCGGGACGGTGGGGTAGCCTAGTGGGTAAAGCTTTCGCTCTGCACGTCGAAGACACGGGTTCGATTCCCCACATGGGTACAATGTGTGAAGTCCATTCCTGGTGTCCCCCGCCGTGATATTGGAGGAATATTGCTAAAAGCGGCGTATAAACATACTCACTCACTCAGTGTGCCAGTTCTATATAACCGATCTCAACCGCGACGTAAAACTCATTTCAGCTTACAACCAAGCGGTAAGTTTCAAACTTATCAGAATAAATATAAAATAAAACAAACTGACGGACAAAAGAAACTATACGTGTACCAAAACATTGGATTTGGCCAAAACAATTTAGTCTAAGATATTTTATCAAGACGAGAATTGTCGCAGAAACACTGCTAACCTTAATCCAAAACCACCTGTGATACCTGTATCAAACATTCCACTGTCGAATAACCATTTGTTGTTTGCGTCTTTTTCATCGACCATCAAACATGATACAGTGGACTCCCTCTAAACCGACATCCCTCTAATCCGACATTCCCTGCAAACCGACATATTTATTTGGTCCCGAATTTGTCATTATATAATATCATATAAGAAACTCCCTCTAATCAGATATCCCTCTATACCAAATTCCGACACTCAAATCCGGTCCCAAATCATGTTTTAGGCATATACTTTCTATTGCCCAGTTGTTTGCATTGTTGAAAGTATTCCTGAAAGTTCTAAAACAAATTATAATTTGATAGCAGCGGAGCTCGGCTCATAACCAGCATAACCTATGTCTATATTGTAAAACTATAACATACGAACCTGTTCTCTTTGTCCAAGATGAAGGATTGTGAGTGACAACAAGTCACGTGACATGTGTGTGTCACTCTTGTATTATTAATTGTACTGCAGCACCAAGGTAACTTTGGATACAGTTGCACTTTGAATTAGAAAGTAGGACAATAAAATAATAAACCTTTAAAAATATACTAAAGAGAAACCCTATTCTTTCATAGTACTATAGTTCATCTATCATTGCAGATCATTTGTGGTATGTGGATGGAGAGAGTAGAACTGTAAGGTGAGCAGGGGTTCAAAAATCCCATCGCCCGACGCCCGGGACAAGTCAGTTTTCATTTCGGACAATCAAATAATGGTAAATTACTTGTCCGTGGGCTACTAGATAATTTCCACTTATGGATTCAAACTGCAAATAAACTTGGATTTAATTTCATATCTGCTCAAAATGTAGCTATTAAATTTCGCAGTGATAATAAAGTAGAGTTATCTTTCTGTGCTATTTATCACTTTTCAATAAATAGTCCAGTAAACATTAACATCAAATACCATGTTGATTTCTTCTTTCATAATTACATCATCATGATTATGTCATTAAATCAGGGCAAGTGGAAAATTAGTCAGGACAAGTTACTTTCTTAAAGTCACTTGCCCTGTGGCAAGTGGCTTTTTAAAACAATTTTGAACCCCTGGTGAGTCTGTACGGGTGAGTCACCCAATGTTAGCAATAATCCTACCCTCTCACAGCAAGAATAGTCTCACATAGTCTACCCATATGGGAATCGAACCTGAGTCTTAGGCGTGACGAAACAACACTTTAACCACTTGGCCATCAACACTGTATTTTAAATCCCGAAATGTCCCACTATTACTGGGATTGTTGTTTTGGAGTGAGTGAGTGAGTATAGTTTTACGCCGCTTTAGCAATATTATATCAACATCACGGCGCGGGACACCAAAAATGGGCTTCACACGTGGTACCCATGTGGGAAATCGAACCCAGGCCTTCGGCGTGACGAGCGAACGCTTTAACCACTAGGCTACCCTACCGCCTCTGTTTTGGAGTAAAACTGAAGACTTTCATGACATTGAATAAACATACACATTGCATCCTACCACTGACAGAGTGGTCCACTAAAACAAGTAATAGTAAACAGGTATCTGTACTCATACTGATTCAATCTTCCATAAATGTACATTTTCTGCAGAAAACCTTTCGTTGTGGGTTATAGCGGGCAGCACTTTTCGCGAACACCTGGTGTCATCACTGTTTTTCAGTGAACCATTCATATAATGTCCTCCACTACTTAAACCGTTTAACCTCAATGGGTGAGTGAGTGACTTTGTTTTACGCCGCTTTTAGCAATATTCCGGCAATATCACGGTGGGGGACACCAGAAACAGGCTTCACTCATTGTACCCATGTGGGGAATCAAACCCGAGTCTTCAGCGAGACGAGCGAAAGCTTTAACCACTAGGCTACCCCACCGCCCCTTAACAGTGGGTGCTACATCACTGGAAGATACTCAGCTAATTAGCCAATCAGGTTATTTCTACAACGAGGAGAGTTCTATGGATATACAACTTCTTTAATATAATATGAGCGACGTTTCCGTGTAGCTTCTAACACCGTTATCAAGCAAATGCTGATGGGCTTGATAACGGTGTTAGTAGCTACACTGAAACGTCGCTCATATTATATTAAAGAAGTTGTATATCCATAGAACTCTCCTTGTTGTTCATCACACCAACTTCTAAATGCCACTCAAACAAGGTTAATTCTAATGGAGAGCACTAAGTCATAGGGATGGCGTACGTTCACCACTTTGCTGAATAAACAAAATTTGGTCCTGATAGACAGCCCTATACCCCTCCCACCTCCACAGCCACCTGTTTTGGTAGATGATAAAACTTTCAAAAGTTTTGAACAGTTCTCAGCATTTAAACATGTACGTGAAAAAGCTTTTGAAAATTTGACTCTCCAAATACCACGCTTAATTCTGGCCGTGGTGATCCGACCCTGGCGATATGTCTCATCGCACTCCCTCGGTACAAAACGTGATTTGAACTATAACTGTGACCTATAATAAGAATTAGGTTATAAAACATTACCGACAGCAACGCGTATAATTGTTGTAACCTATATTTATTCTTTTCCATCAATCTAACAAGCTGTAATAGCAGGCCTATCAGGTTGTATCAGAATCAGTGAAGTAAACCTCGGGAAATGTTTGGATTGCGGATGTAAGTATGGTCTAAGGTGATGTAAATATCACTTACGTAGGTGAATGCATGGTCTAAGGTGATGTAAATATCACTTACGTAGGTGAATGTATGGTCTAAGGTGATGTAAATATCACTTACGTAGGTGAATGTATGGTCTAAGGTGATGTAAATATCACTGGCGTAGGTGAATGTATGATCTAAGGTGATGTAAATATCACTTACGTAGGTGAATGTATGGTCTGAGGTGATGTAAATATCACTTACGTAGGGGAATGTATGGTGTAAGGTGATGTAAATATCACTTACATAGGTGAATGTATGGTCTGAGGTGATGTAAATATCACTTACGTAGGTGAATGTATGGTCTAAGGTGATGTAAATATCACTTACGCAGGTGAATGTATGGTCTAAGGTGATGTAAATATCACTTACGTAGGTGAATGTATGGTCTAAGGTGATGTAAATATCACTTACGCAGGTGAATGTATGGTCTAAGGTGATGTAAATATCACTTACGTAGGTGAATGTATGGTCTAAGGTGATGTAAATATCACTTACGTAGGTGAATGTATGGTCTAAGGTGATGTAAATATCACTTACATAGGTGAATGTATGGTCTAATGTGATGTAAATATCACTTACGTAGGTGAATGTATGGTCTAAGGTGATGTAAATATCACTTACGTAGGTGAATGTATGGTCTAAGGTGATGTAAATATCACTTACGTAGGTGAATGTATGGTCTAAGGTGATGTAAATATCACTTACGTAGGTGAATGTATGGTCTAAGGTGATGTAAATATCGCTTACGTAGGTGAATGTATGGTCTAAGGCGATGTAAATATCACTTACATAGGTGAATGTATGGTCTAATGTGATGTAAATATCACTGGCGTAGGTGAATGTATGATCTAAGGTGATGTAAATATCACTTACGTAGGTGAATGTATGGTCTAAGGTGATGTAAATATCACTTGCGTAGGTGAATGTATGGCCTAAGGTGATGTAAATATCACTTACGTAGGGGAATGTATGGTCTAAGGTGATGTAAATATCACTTACGTAGGTGAATGTATGGTCTAAGGTGATGTAAATATCGCTTACGTAGGTGAATGTATGGTCTAAGGTGATGTAAATATCACTTACGCAGGTGAATGTATGGTCTGAGGTGATGTAAATATCACTTACGTAGGTGAATGTATGGTCTAAGGTGATGTAAATATCACTTACGTAGGTGAATGTATGGTCTAAGGTGATGTAAATATCACTTACGTAGGTGAAAGTGTGGTCTAAGGTGATGTAAATATCACTTACGTAGATGAATGTATGGTCTAAGGTGATGTTAATATCACTTACGTAGGTGAGTGTATGGTCTAAGGTGATGTAAATATCACTTACGTAGGTGAATGTGTGGTCTAAGGTGATGTAAATATCACTTACGTAGGTGAATGTATGGTCTAAGGTGATGTAAATATCACTTACATGGGTGAATGTATGGTCTAAGGTGATGTAAATATCACTTACGCAGGTGAATGTATGGTCTAAGCTGATGTAAATATCACTTACGTAGGTGCATGTATGGTCTAAGGTGATGTAAATATCACTTACGTAGGTGAATGTACGGTCTAAGTGATGTAAATATCACTTACGTAGGTGAATATATGGTCTAAGGTGATGTAAGTAGCATCTGCGTTGGTGAAAGTATGGTCCGAGGCGATGTAAGTATGGTCTAAGGTGATGGGACAACCCAGACCTAGCTGGAAGTAGCATTAACGTTGCTAAAAGTATGGTCTACATAGATGGTAAAAGTATCTTCGTAGATGAACTATTTTAAGAATGTGTTACTCATACATTTCCATACACAGCAACTCACATAGTCAGTTGGCAGCATATCCAATGTGACATTGGAAAGATAAAAATACTACCAATATTTAACAAATTTATTGCATGGCCAAATTTACATGGATTCTTGTGCTCAACCCTTTTTCTTTAAAATCTAGTATGTATTTTGTTTCCATAAGAGCATTACCGAAGTGAAGCTGCTAATATTCTATCATTTCCATTTTAAGTTATTGATCCGCCGATATTCAGAACTGTCTTGTTTACACTGCTGTTTTCTTGAATTCCCGCCCATCCATCTCCATTGTCTGTCGCAGACCTTTGACACTCTGAGAGTAACATCTCTACAGAAGGATATTTACGCCATAACGTTTTTCATGCTCCGTTGTAGGAGGTCTCCAGAGAAGCGGTTCCATTCCTGGCGAGTGGATCAAAGGTATTAACCGGAACACAGATATTGTTACCTGCATCCCCGAGGATGGTTTCATGTTGAAAATAGTTTGAATTGCCAGTATGAGTAACAAACGTGCTACTTTAATATGTCTACATCTAGTGTCTAGTGCACTGTCTGAATGTGAATATGATAACAAAAACTGATGTCGCTTTGAGGAACTCGGATTCTACTTGGCCAGGAATTTGTCCAGGAGTGCAGGGTTCTTGCAGGCGCGTCCCACCCATACCATTCCAGGGGCGTTGCAGGTTCCAGCAGCGCATACCTCGTTAGCGCAGTACATCATTGGTTTAGGCTGAAATAGAATGGTAAATAGGTTTATATGTTGCCTTCACCTTTGACTTTCAGATAAATGGATAATTCGGCCGGCAACTACTAATCAGCCTACTGATGTCCGTTTTAGATACTATAACCATCCGCCATTTGATCACCGCCTCAGATGTACACTTACTATTCACCCTAATCCCGCTTTCCACCAACTACCCAGTCCCCGCTTTACACCGCCAGCCACCCAATACCCGTTTTACATCCACAGTTACCGCCACCCAATACCCGTTTTACACCAACAGTAACCATCAGCCACTTAATCCCCACTTTACATCAACAGTTACCGCCAGCCACCCAATCCCTGCTTTACACCAACAGTTACCGCCAGCCACCCAATCCCCACTTTACTCCAACAGATACTGCCAGCCACCCAACCCCTGCTTTACACCAACAGTATCCAACAGCCACCCAATCCCCGATTTACTCCAACAATAATCATCAGTCACCCAATCCCCAATCCGCGCTTTACACCAACAGTATCCACCAGCCACCCAATTATCGTGTTCGATAATATGTGAAATCCATTTTTACTTGACATCATGGACAAGTTTGTGAGATATATCCGATTTAAACCAGGTTATTGTTGTAAACCAGGTTATTGTTGTAAACCACGTTATTGTTGTAAACCACGTTATTGTTGACGTTAAAGTGTTTCAATAATGTTCCGTAACAACCTATTGAAGCTTTAGTGCTACACGTTAAAATAGAGATTATGGATAACCAACTGATTCCTGACAGAATCCCTACAAGAACAATGGTGTGACGAAGTATTGTTTTCCTTTTGTGAAAAAAAAGTTGACAAAAATGAAAAGAGTGTTCGTGATGACACATGGCATGAACGACTGAAAGCAACTTACAAATCCGGTGAAGCACATTTCACACATAAACAGACATGCGTGCTCCGATCCAATGTCTTTGAGTCCTACTTCCGGTAGCGTGGGCGATGAGGTGACTACTGATGCAAAGAGTATCATTGCACATGCGCAGCTGAACAAGGTTACAGAAGACATATTGACCTTCTGATTCAAATCCTGTAAAAGAAAGATAGTAGTTAATAATTAGTTATGATTCATGCATGAATGTATTTTATTCTTAAGTCCTTATGTCATATTAATTAGTATTGGATGGTGGGGTCGCCAAGTGGTTACAGCGTTCGCTCGTCACGCCGAAGACCACATGGGAACAATGTCTGAAGCCCATTTCTGGTGTCCCCCCGCGGTGATATTGCTGGAATATTGCTAAAAGCGGCGTAAAACCCAACTCACTCACTCACTCACTCAGATTCGTCTGGCACTGTTAGCGGGAGACCACTATTTCTCGGTATTTAAATCGTTGTATCTGCGGATCTGGGCCGTCTTTGTTAAGACAGAGAATTGGTGCTGGTGAGGTCATCTTGGACAGTAATTCACACACGTCACGGCGTTTCATCTTAGTGAAGAGGAAAGCCTGTCTCGTCACAGCAATCCTGGGACCAGTACCAGACCAATTACCCTGCGCACCCCCTGGGCCGAATACACACACACGAGGGTGAAAAACAATAAAACAATTGTCGCATCTCTTTTTGTACCAGTTTTCATCCGCTCATATACTTCTGCGCGTGTCTTTCTATGAAAGCGGGATTAGAAAACCATCCATTCGAACAGAATGTGCCGTTCACAATCAATACCCCGTTTGTATCCAAACGCGCTAAGCTTCCAACAGTGGACCCAGCACATCGTTTGGTCTTCCAAGCAAAAGGTTAAAAGCAATAATTCGTAATATTTCTAATCGGAATATTTTTAATCAAATGGTTAAACATTCAGCCGAGCCAATGTACCGAAGCACGAAGAGCTCAAGTGACGTTTTTGCACTGCGAACGGCGTATTAATTCTGAACCGATGAGATGAACTATAGTTAGATCACACATCACGACAACTGCACTCCTTCTGACAGGTTTATCCATCATAATATCATCTTTTCGGGAGCAATCCTTAGCCTATGATTGCAGTAGGTGTGCCCGAGGAGAGTGTCCTCCAGTTGGTGGTTATTAGTGGTGGTCCGATTAATTGAAATAATCGAAGATTGGTCGCAGTGACTAAACGACCAAGCAATCGATCATGTTTTCTCATAATCGAACACAAACAATTCTAGTACACTTGTTTTCATTAACAGTATTTTTCACTAGGTTGGTTTTGTCTGTTACATTTCATAAGCACTACAAGCTTGTTCCAAGTCATGATTGAATTTATCTTAAAGACTCTAAGAAATTTATGTTCCTCCATACTAGTCATCCTTTAAAGATGTGAAATTTTGCCAAAAAAACCCCAAAGAACTATATGTTTTTTTCCTTATTTTTGTGTGCATTAACACATTTCATAAATGACGCTAACCAATTATTTTCCATGATTAATCGGTTGTAATGAACCAATCATCAATTATGAGATTTTAACAAATTCCCAACATTACTGGTTATCAGCTCTGTATGGGTTGGGTGTGGGGGCCGTTATTGTGTGTCAGTGACTGAGTTAGTGGTTAAAGGTTTGTGACCAGACTAATGTCAGATTCCAGGTTATTTGTTCGTTTGTTCAACTCATCAATATTCGAGCTGTATGACCTCGGTCTGTAATTAATCGAGTCAGGATCAGGCAATCCAGTGATCAACTGCATGAACATCGATCTCCGCAATTGGGATACGATGACATGTGTCACCCAAGTCAGTGAGCCTGACCACCCGATCCCGTTAGTCATCTCTTACGACAAGCATAGGTTACTGAAGACCAATTCTAGCCTAGTTATTCCAGGTTAGAATCTATACCCAGCAGCATAAGCCAGTCGGTCTCCGGCATGCGGAAGCTCTAACCACTACACCACCGAGGACGCAGTGAAGCGGTCACATTATACAGGTGATGAGTCCCGCTGACTCGGTAGACTGCGTATCCTGACGGCAGAAACATTTGCTCATATTATCAACCACTTCATTTGTTTTTACTCAATCATTTACATACCACTGCCATACGTGCTAAATGCGGCATTACATAACTGAACAAAACGTATTTCTCAAGTTAGATTACCCAGTCCCTTTTCAACGAACATATAAACGCGGCGTTTACAGTAACCAAATCCTACGTTTGGTGGAAAAAAGCAAAAGGGTACGATTTTGTAAATCGTTGTTTTTTATACCTGAACGAACTAAATGTATGGAATACTATGTGTACCTTAATATATAACGGCTATTTATATCGAGTAAATAGCCACAATGATGCGCTGGGCGAATGTCATTTCCCCCTCATCAGTGTCCTGGGCTTATATGGTCGATTCCGAGAATATCTGATCACCTGAATGTCGCCGATCCCTCGTTGTGGCCTTGTCAGTCAGACACGACCAGGAACAGTCCAATATGTATGGATATGTCTCTTGTTAAAAACAGATAAGGCCTTATGTTCTAGTTTCCTCCAGACTTGTGACTGCCAAATCCAATTTTATGCATGTGTATATAATTTGTGTCATGTCAATATTTATTGAGATTTATTTCCAGGAAACCAAGAATGGACATACAACAGTTGGTAGTGTTTTCACTGTTCACTGAGTGGGCGAGATGTTGTTAAACGTCATTTCGAACAATGTTACAATTATATCACGCCGGGGAGGGGATTTCTTCGTCTTTCGCCTGTTGGTTAACGCCGCACTCAACATTAGTCCAGCTGTATGACGAAGATTTGTAAATACTTCAACACAGCCAAGACAATCAAATGACTGACATTACCAGCATTCATATCAGCAACTGGAATGCGACATACTTTAATAAATCAGCGACCACATCGCCGCCCGGTTCTCTCCATCACCTCTCATAATATACACTATCCAAAAAAAGAAACGCATAGGCGATTTGTATTTTTAAAAATCTGTTAATTACCTATTGTGTTCAAACAATCGTCAAAATGTGTAATAAAAGTGTTGATAACATGATTTTACACACTTGCACAAGAAATAAAATCGACTTTACCTGAATACGTTGATTTTGGTGAGATTTCTTAAAAGGATTAAAAAGGCATCGCCACAACGCAACAGAAATCACCTTCCAGTTGAAATTGTGCGGCAAAGAGCAAGTACTGTCTGGCTATAAAAATCCAGATGACTTTCAGATATTGGCATTCGTTTTTAAGGAGTTTCAAGGTCAAATCACTACGCCACGTCTTGACGCTGCGACACGGAACATCGCCATTGAAAGAATGCACGCTGGAGATTACCAATCTTCTGTTGCCAGGCGTCTGAATGTTAGCCTGAGCACAATATCACGGCTTACAACTCGTTACAACCAAACAGGTATAACAAATGACCGTCCCCGTACAGGCAGACCTCGAGTCATTACTGCAGCCCAAGATCGGTACATCCGGTTACTACATTTGCGTGATCGTACTGCCACGGGTGAGAGCACAGCAGCCAGGGTGCCTGGACTTCGGAAGATATCCGGTCAATTGTACGGAACAGGTTGAAAGAGACTGATCTGAGAAAATACAACATTTTCGCAACACATTTCTGTGTTATGCGTTTCTTTTTGTGGATAGTATACATTGGTTCCTGCAAACCAGTTCTAACCGAGATCATCACTAGGCTGCACCGACAGTGTGAAGAGACCGAATAAATGTTGCATTGTGCCTATTCCGTCTTCAAGGAGTGAGTGAGTTTAGTTTTACGCCGCACTCAGCAATATTCCAGGTACATGGCGGCGGTCTGTAAATAATCGAGCCTGGACCAGACAACCCAGTGATCAACCGCATGAGCATCGATCTGCGCAACTGGGAACCGATGACATGTTTCAACCAAGTCAGCGAGCCTGACCACCCGATCCCGTTAGTCGCCTCTTACGACAAACATGGGTTCTGAAGATCAGTTCTAACCCGGACCTTCACGGGTCCCGTCCAAGGATACTAACGGAGTTTGTGCAACTAGTGTAGAGAAAAGTAGTTATGTATATAAGGAGCTTGGTTGCAGTGATGTAGCCAAAGTTCATTATCAAGATGGCATGCAACGCGTACATTAAAAACTCATTTGTTCAGCATTGCATACGGAGTTCAACTGCGCTCTTGAGCAGTCTTCTCAAGACTGGATATTAGCGCTATATAAATGTATATCAATGTAATGTAAAACGTGACATTCATCCTAACAAAATAACATTGGAAATTCTATATTTCATTGACCATAAATACATCCACCGGATCATATTTATACAAACGCGTGATGTACATCGGAAACATGCTAATGCAGTCTGAAAATGTTGTGAGATCCGCATCCAACTATTATTGTTCAGTATTGATCTGTGCTTTCTGATCAGGCTAACGACAGGACTTGCAAGATTGGGATAAAAGTGAGTGCTATCCTTGGAAATGTGAACCTTTCAGATTCTGTTTGATGGACTTTAAAATAGCCAGATATCTGTACCTGTTGATCCTGCCATACGGATTCATTAGCTTTTATCCAATCTATACACTCTTCAAAAAAAGAAACGCATATGTGATTTTGAGAATATTTGACTCATGAGCTGTGGCAAAAGAAATACAAATATACTACAATTTCTTTACCAGACGTGAAACAGCTTCAGCGGCAAAACGCGGCAATTTTAACGTTTTGTCTTGTTTTAGAAGCGTTTGAAGAATATTCGCCAAAACGTCACCAAGGAAACATGTAAAGCAAAATGCACGTGCAGGTAATTGGAAAAGCATGCGGCATCGATCACTATAAAAAGGCAAACGTTGTGTTTAATTTTGTCATTCGATTTTGCCTAGAAAAGAGGAAATCACGCAGCCATGACTGAGTAACGCCAATCGAAACATCGCCATAGGCCGTCTTGAAGCTGGGAAGTCGCAGTCTGCAGTTGCCCAACATTTCAACGTTCTCGCCTTTGGGATCGTTTCCTGCAGACTAATTCCGCCCAAGATCGCCCGAGATGCGGCCGTCCAAGAGTTACCATCCAAGCCCAGGACCGCTACATCCGGGCTTCTCACTTCCGATTATGGACCGACAGAGGGAGTTTGTTCCAGCATGACAATGC